AAAAATTGCCTAAACCTGGTATTGCTGCATTAATAGAAAATAAGTCAGTATTATAGAAATTATAATAAAAATTTCATCTCTTAAGGATAGGACGACTTGGTCAGGACTTGGTCTGAGTATTGAGGAAAAAATTAAATATAAATATAAATCAAAATCTTTTCACCGAAATAGTATTATTATTACCAAAAAATGTTAATGAAACATAACTGTACTGTTTTTGCTTATTTCTGTTCAGTTAATTATATAATAATTGATGTGATGGCATTTTTGGGTTATCTTCCGGTACGTTGGTTAAGTATCACAAAAGTGACTTTATGATTTTCTTAAAAATGTTACAAGTTTTGTATTCCGACAGAAGATTGTCACAAAAAAGTTAATGACATCAAACTATTAAATGGAATGTGAGATTAATTTCAGCTCCAAAAAATTCAAATGCATTTTTATTTAGTGAACAACGAAATGTTGATAAATAAATAATATATATATATATATATATATATATATATATACTAGATGTCCCGACAGACGTCCTGTACTTACGTCTACAATTCAAAAGTTCCAAATTTTTTAATATCCTATCCTATACTTTTTATATCCTATTTGATGTGTTGCCTTTGATTGATTGATTGATTCATTCATTTATGGTCTTAGCATTAGCAGTATAAGAAATTCAGAAAAAAATAATACAGTATCTGTGGTAAAAGAACAATATCACACTTGATTTTACCACACAACATAATTGCTTCCATAATTTAGTCTACAATTTTCATAATCTTGTACGATATATTAGTCGCTTTTTTGCAATTATAATTTCCAGAGTACATTTTTCCTACTAATAATTTAATAAACATTATTGTTTATGTTCAAATCCTAGGTGAATTAATTTGTAAAATCTAGTTCATATGTGCACTCTTCAATCTAAAACCAACTTGCTAAATATTCCATATCCAATGCCAAACAAATGAATTTTTGACAAATGAAACAAAGTTCTAAATCATATTTTAATAAGTAGTAATATTTTTTGTATTGGTAAATAATTTTGTAAAGTAAACCAAAATGCGACATGCATAAGTTTAAAAAATAATATACATGCAATTTTGGACTAATTGCATTATTTATTAAACTGAATGATATAATTTCATCTGCCAAACATATACTGTATCTTATATTATTTTAATTTCTAGCACATCTCAGCTGCTTTTCGGCAATAATAATGTATACATTACATTTTTCTTCTATATTATATTCTAATATTATCTAGGCTCATAATTTTAGCTAAATTCAAATTTCAAGTGAGTTGATTGACGTGTGTGAGTTCTAACAGATTACAGTTCAAATGTTCTCAATGCCAAATGATGATAGGTGGTTTTTGTAATTTTTCCCATTTATTTATACAATATTACTATAGTTTTATCGTTCAATGAATCTTGAAAATTTCCTTCGATAAACTCTAAAAAGAATTATCAAAATTCGATTAACCGTTTTGGAGAATTATCAAATCATACACCTATACAGAAAAATATATATTTATATATATATATAATATTATCTATTATTTTTTGTTTATTTTTTGGTGGTTAAAAAAATATCATTTTGGCAAATTTTTTTAGGAGAAATAAATAACATATTGTATTAGACCTTCATTAGATTTTACATATCAAAGTGTTTTTTATTTATATTAATAATTATTAATTTTTGTATATTTTATTTTTTTTTAGATTGTGAACCTGTACAGTTCTGGTTGCTGACCAGACATGGTACTAGGCTGCCAACTGCCAAAGAAATAGGCAGGATGCCACATTTGGAAAGTTTGCGAGATGAGATTATTCGAAATTATCAAGACAGAAATTCTGGTCTTCCCGATAGAGTAAGCAATTAAATATATAATAATTCAATATATACAGGGTGTCCCAGAACTCGTTTAAGTACAAGTTCTCTAATACACTTTTTGACTTTAAGGGCAGACTCTGTTTTCAAGATTTGGAGAATTTATCACGCTGGAGATGGGATTATAATATAACGGCAAATCATGAACAATATTTAGTTTATCAAGGACAAGAAGACCTCAGACTGTTAGCCAGGAGGTTCCAATCCAAATACCCTCAACTTATGGACTCGCTTTATAATCCTAAACAATATGAGGTAAATCTTATATATAAAAATGAATCGCAAAATGTGTTGGTAAGCGCATAACTCAACAACGCCTGGACCAATTTGGCCAATTCTTATTTTTAAATGTTTGTTGAAGACCAAGTATGGTTCCTACGGCGAGAAAAAATCGAATAATTGCCGGGGAAACCCAAAAAACAGCCCTTTTCTTTTTCTCATACAAACGTTTTCTAACTAAAACGTAGAATCAATTTGAACTTTATTGCTATTATATAAAGTTCATAGTAAATTACAAGCACTCACGGTATACTCCTTCTAAACGATTATTCGGATTTTGATAAATCTTTCTGAAGTTTGTTAAGGAAATTTTCTAGGATGCATGTGATTATAAAGTAAAATGTATGTGCAATATTGTAGAAATAAATGGAAAAAATTACAAAAAACGGCATGTCATTGTTTGCATTGAAAACAAATGAAAACTATCATCTGCCAAAAATTTCAATTTACTCATGAACCTAGACAATATTAGAATATGTTTAATAAATTTATGATTATGAATACGAAAAATGAAATGTCTACATTATTATTGCCGAAAAGCAGTTGAGATGTGTCAGAAATTAAAATAATATAAAATACAGTATATGTATGGCAAATTGAATTGTACACATATGAACAAATATGACAAATTAATTCACTTAAATGAAATTAACTATTAATCAGCCTACCTTTGATGCGATGCATGCGAAAAATACGAACGCACGCCTTAGGGGGCGCCAACACAAGATTCGGATACTAAATTTTCAACATAGCTTTTTTTAAATATATAATTTCTTTGCATCTTTTACTAATCTTTCTACAATATTTTTAAAATTCATAAAAATTTTACTTTAGAACAACAAATGGGTAAGTAAAGATGAATACATACAATTCGGCCCTCACGATATCGATTGAGAGAAGTTTAAGATACAATTTTAGACATCTTAAATAATTAAAAATTAAATTAATTTAATCCAACATGAAGTATCAGTGTAATATTATGGTTATAGAGTTATGGTTATGTTATACCGTTTAAAAGATTTCAATTTCCAATATAGTGTGGGAATTGAGACTCATCATTTTATTAATGTATATTAAATGCTCATATTATAAATGCATATGCATTTTGGCGTGAAGATTAATTTAAAAAACAATAATAATTATTTTTTAGGTGAATGGTAAATATTAGTAAAACAAAATCGAACTTATATTTAGGAGTTCTACGAATTTCATAGTATTTATTATTTACAGTTTAGGCACACAGAAACCCAAAGAACCGAATACAGTTTCAAAGCTTTTGCTGAAGGTCTTTTCGGACCATCTTCAGTTTCGATACATTTACCACCGCCACCAAAAGAAGACAAATTGTTGAAGGTAATTTCATTCTTAAAAAGTATAACTTTAAATATGTTTCTTTTTCTAATTTTTCTTTCTTTCTAGGGTTACGATTTCTGTCCCTTATATATCGATGAAGAGGATAAACCAAAACCCGAACACGAAGCCTTTAAAAATTCACCTTTATATACCAAACTTGTAGAAGATGTGTCCAGTAAACTTGGTTTTAGATTTGCTCTGGACAAGGATGTGGTAAATGATATTTGGGCGATGTGCAGGTACGACAGGGCTTGGAAACTGGACAGACTTGGGTCGCCCTGGTGTGCGGTTAGTATTTATATTAAAAGAATTTTGTCTTTAGCTAAAGATATGTATTTTATATTATCAGCAATAGCAACCGGTATCGGCGAATTGTGATTCAGAATGAAAATGTTTGAACATAGAAATTTTTTGAGGTGATTCTTGGGTTCATTTTTTCTATGAAGCATGAATATGCCGGACTGCATATTTTTAGTATTTAATTGGTCTGGAACAATATTTTAGATGTGTCAAGAAAAATCTAATGGTGCTAACTACAAACCACTGAAGTATCAGAAAATACAAACCAAGTTTCTTACGAACCCACTTTTCCATATTTTTCATTGATGAGGTAGTTCAAAATTGTATGTTAGCGATTTTTCTTTTGTTGAAAAGATCTCTAAATTGGGGTCTACCAGGATTGAGTAGTTTTTGTTTGGCAATGCGTCCAATACTTTCGAAAATTTTTTTTGGAAAGTAATATTTCTATAAGAGAAATTATCCTTTCCAGAAGGATCTCAATTTTCATCTATCACGTTTTAATAAATGTTTTGTCTCAATCACAGGCTTTCACACAAAACCAAGTAAAAATTCTGGAATATCTCGAAGATTTAAAATATTACTACAAAACTGGATATGGTTTAGACATCAATACTAAAATTGGATGCCCTCCGATTAAAGATATGATTGAGAAATTCACAAAAAAGATCGATACTAATGGTAAGTAGATAAAATTATTTATAATTATCAAGAAGCATGACTTTGTTCGAAAACTGGTATATAGCATAGCATAGATACACATTTGTTTGTACTTCTATATATGAATTATTTTTTTTATCTTCCAGGGTACATGTCGTATCATATATCTCTATTTTCACAAATAACCGATTTTATGTTTTTTTATCACTAATTGTTTTTAATTCTGCTGTTTTTTTTAATTTATCAATATAGTGCAGATTTTTTTGCGATATGGACGCTTTGCATACTTTATTTGTTAAATTTATGCTAGTATTTCTGTATTTGTTTTATCAAATTAATTTTCTTCAATATCACGTTAGCAGACTCTCCAAATATTCTTTAGAGATTTTGAACGTTTTTGGGGAGTCTTTTTTTGAAAATTAAATTTCAAATCAAAATTTATTCAATAGATGGTCCAAATGTGGTGGCATATTTTACCCATCAAGCAATGTTGAACATGATGTTGACCACATTGGGTTTGGCAAAAGATTCTCGACCTCTGACCGCAGCAGATTTTGAGATTAATGAGAATAGACAGTGGCGTGTCAGCAAACAATCACCATTTACTGGAAATTTGGCAGCAATTCTGCACAAGTAAGATTTATAGTAACTAGATTCATATGCACTCTTGCACACTATCAAAACATGAAACTTGTTCAACCTGATCGCCATTTTATCTACATTTTGATCAATAAATAAATCAAATTGTGAAATGAAATATGTTTTTAATTGGCGTTGGAGAAATGATTCAATTTCTCGGGTGTTAATCTATTTATCCCTTATAGATGTGACGAGACGCAACCGGAGCCCTACCAGGTCCTATTTCTCCTGAACGAGGCTCCAGCTGAAATAAGCGACTGCAGGGTCGGACTGTGCTCCTGGGAGACTGTCAGACGTAAATGGGCACTTTTGGCTGACACCTGCGACCTAAATCATTTTTGTTTACCTAATTCGGCTCCTGCAGCCAATTTAAATGTTATTGGTTTTGTATCATTGGTAATAACAGTTTTATTATTGGATCGATTTAGAGGAATTTAAATAAAATTTGAGGATATTCCTGTGGTGAAGTATAGACAAATCCAAATGTATAAATTCTAATATCTAAAAATAATGAAACGAAGCAGGTGAGCATTAAAACATCTATCAATGATTGTTCTAATTTATCATAATAGTAATTTTGGTTATTGAATTGTTGGCATATAAAACTTAACAAAAATTATAACATTGTTGCGTCAAGATTCAAATTCTAAAATATATTAGATTTAAATTCTAATAATCCTAATACAGTATTAAATATATGTTTGTAAAATATTTCTGCCAAAAGTGTAAATAATTAACATGTTATTTGTTATTATTAATAATAAGGTATTTTTTATTATTAATAATAAGTGTTAAGAAACAATATTAGTATAAAGTTCAATCTGTAATGTTAATTTTATTTTCAAGATTTATATATTGTTAATGTATGTTTATAGTTTAATATAAATACAAACAGTTTTAATAATTTAATCTATTTATTAGAAAGAGGTATTTTTCAGCATTATATAAAAGAATTGAATTGCAAGATAATAGTCACAGATAATTTAGAAGTCTAATTAAACATACTATATATAAATCTATATATATATAAATTAGGGTGGTCCTTAATACGGACATTTTCGATTTTTTTGCTCCCAAGGATTCAAACGCTTCCAAATTAATTAAAAAAAATGTTCTAAAAGTTTCAGCCCTTAATATTAATAATTGGATACTTCACGAATATCCTAAAATTTGATAATAAATAAAAATTTATTGAAGTTTGGAATAATATGGGTTTGTGCAAATTGAAGATATTATAAGTATACATCCAATTTATCAGTTTTTAGGAAGAAACATTTGAGCAATTTACCTAATTGGCTGAATCTCATCTAATTGATATGTGTCGGCAAGTGCAACTTGCCCTAAGGCAAAATGCCACTTACACCTAGTTTTAAACATATATATATATATATGAGTGTGTGTGTATATGTATATAATTTACATTTTTTCTCGATCTGTTACCATAGTAATGCGAAACAATCGGATATTTTCGTTGCTCCAGTAACGACATGTCAAACGTTTAATTGTCACATTAATGAATATTTTAATTTTTATTTTCTAGAAATATTTTTCAGGTTCTTATTTGAAATTATTTAATAAAAGAAGACATGGAAGATTGGCCAAGTGCACGAGTCTCTCAAGGCGGAATATTTGCTCCGAGGGCGAATAAGTACAGCACTGAAACCCACAATTTTCTAAAAGGTAAAAATAATAATTAATTTCTAAAATTTTTTACGTTTCAACGGTTTCTGAGCACACATAAAAAAATCTGTGTTTCGTCCACGTTTTCGGAAGCACGGATCAACTAATTTGAATTATTCAAAAAGAATTCGATTCCTTTTCATAGGGTTATGTTATGATTAGTTTTTGGTAAAAGCAGATCCTAGCTGTTTGGGAGATCTAGAGAAAAAATTTGGCGGTCGGAAATTTGTTATTTTCATTTTAAGTTTAAAAAAATAATTTATTTAATCATAATTTTCAATTTAAAAAATCAAAATAAAATAAACAATTTTTAAAAAAATATTAGTATTTTCAAAAATTTTCAAAAAATTTCATAATTTTCAATAAATGTAACCTGTTCAATTTTCTATATTATTTTCAAATTTTTTCAAAAATGTTCAGAAAATAATTCGAAATTTTCAAAATCTAATTTGTCTTTTCTGAGCTTCTAAAAATTTTAAATTACGATATCGGAAATTCCAGCAATTTTCCTTAAGGCACTAAGCCGCACACCACTTTTTATATTATTTTTTTAATAGAAAATTATTTTTGTAAATGTTATATCATATTTAATGTCTGTGAAGAATTGACGGGTCTTTCTATTCATGATTATTATCTTTTTTATTATTAAATTTTAACTAATTATTACAATTATCTATCTACAGTTTTAATGGAAGAGCAAAAATTATCTATGCTGCAACGTAAACAAGTAAATCGTTGTCTTCGAGAAGGAACCAGTTTACCACAGAGATTTGCAAAGGAACAACAACCTCAGGTAAAGATAACTAAAAAGAAATTAATCATTCGTCAACTGTATAATTATTTATTTGAAATCTAACTAAACAAATTCAAATTATTATTTTATTTTACAGGAAGAAAGAATATCTATGGACCCTTGTCCTCTGATGAGTCAGGTGTTGAGATCACCAAGACTTAGGACACAATCTGTAATTCGAAACTCGGGAGCTTATGATGTGCCTAAGTAAGATGATATAAATATATAAAACTTACTTATAAATAATTTGAAAACTATTTCATTTAAATTTGCATATTATGTTGTCACTGATAGTCTTTTAATATCATCATGTTTTATAGTACACCCTTTGATTTATTTTTGATATACTCCTTGGTTTTTTACATATCTGAAAAAATATATAGTAATGTCTATTTATTACTAGAATGCCTTTTCGTCCACTGGTTGATCGAGAAAAGGCAAAAGAACACCTTCAAAACATTATGGTGGGATACGACCAAGGAAGTTATGCAAACTATTTGAGAGGAAATAAAGGGACTCGGAAAAATATTCAGAAGGCTCCAAAACAAGAGACTCCTGATAGAGTGGACGAATGTATGTATTTATAATATAGAATAAGAAGTTTGAATTTTAACTGAACAGAAATAATCATATAATGCTTATTCTATTAATTTTATAAATAAAATTTGATTTTCTATTATTTAAAATTTTTAAGTAATGGAGGAGATTCAAGAGCGGATTACTTGGTTAAAAGACATGACCGAGCTTGGCAAAGGAAAGCAACATACAGAAGTCATACGTCAACAAGTAGCTGAAAAAATGAGACAAATCAAAGCATTAAAAGAAATACCTGCAGATACCACGAAGAACAAAGATGACTGCACAAATGCAGAATAAACTCTTCGCTGGTTCGATGAAATATAAAAATTAGTTTTAATTGAACTAATAAATTGTTGTTGTCGTACAAATTCTAAAAATTTGGTCCTAATAGTGTTTTTCTTGTTTATAGGTAGCAATGCTAAGTATTGTAAATTAAATTTTTTATGAAAATAATTTTATTCTTAATATTTTTATCTTATGAAGTTTTGTAAGTATAAATTAAATTGGATGTTTGAGCATTCTTATTAATGTGAATTTGAAAAAGTATTAGAAGTAAAATAGTATTTTCACGTCGTATTAATGGGTCCAAGGAAAAATGGGTCCTACCTTGATTTTTAAAATAGTGTGATATTTAAAGTTTCTCATAACATAAATTGATATAAACTTTTATATTGTGCAACTATGCTCCCTCCTATTAATTTTCTACATTTTAAATCTAAATATGTATATATGCGCTTAACACACGGTTCCTCATGCAGTCACTGGCGGCCATTTTTTTGACACGACAATATACTTCATGAAGAGGTGACAAACAAAGCAGGTGTACCAATATAAAAGTGTAAATAACCCTAGTACATAATGACAGTTCATAGACGTCAATGTGACAGTTACAATTTAATTGCAGCTCTCATATATTAATGTATATCAATATATTATATATATATTTAATTTTTCTCTACGATCATAATATTACGTAGAGGATTTAGTACTGTCATAGTATATAGCAATAATCATATTAAGTTTGAAAGTGGTAAAATGTAGTACTTATATAAGAAGTTTTATTCAGTAAGTTAAATAATGTTTTTTCTGAAAAAGTTCTTGTCATATAAAAATGTGAATAATAATCTGTCGAAATAGTTGTGACGTGCATTTATATAGCTGAAATTTGTTAAATTCTCAATCAATAAGGTGGAGTTCTGTAAGTGCCACAAAATTTTGTTCAGGCATTTGAAATTATTTCGAGCCTTTTTATAAAATTAACAGTACATATGGTATTGAAAAATTGAACCTAATTTTGGTCAACAAATAAAAGATTAATGTGTTAACATAAGCTTTAGCATTGTTTTTTTTTATCAAAAATATACTGCTTTTTATAAAAGAAAAAAAACTATTCATTTATAATAATAAATTTATTGAAATTATAGAACATATTAATATACATATATTTACAATTTAAAACCTATTTCTATAATACTGTTAAAGCATTGTATAATAAATAAATTTATGCAAATAAAGCAAATACCAATCACATTTAATTAACATAAATAAATTATTTGTCGTTGGATACAAAAATGCACACATAAGCAGTGTGTTATGATACTGGCAAGGCTATATAATGTATTACAATTTGAAACACATATAATTAATATAATTAATATTTACAATTTGAAACACATTTCCATAACTTGAATGAATGGCATAACTTTAAATGAATTATGCAAATAAAGCAAACATCAATAATAGTTAATTATGAAGATAATTAAATTATTTCCAGCATTAAATGCAAAGAATGCAAAGAATCGGCTACACTTCTTGAATCATTTTTATTTATTAAGGTATCATTTGGTGGTAACACCCGCCTTTTTATGGAAGCTCTCAGTGGTCTCAGTAATTTTTTGTTATAACAATCTTCACGTATGTTTTTTATAATAAAGTCATCATCTACGCCTGCTTTAATTTGATCTGGAAAAAATATATTACAAATGACAAAGAACTAACAACAATGTGACAATAGCATTTATGAAAATAAATTAATTATACCCTTGATGTTTCTGATTAAATTTTAATCCAGCCGCACATATTTTATCAAATTTTCATGTCCCAGATGTGTCTTCCAGTAATCAACTTCAACATGTCCGTCATTATACACCTTGCACATAATTCGTGAGGGACAAGCATGCCCAATTTTTTTGCTACCCCTTAAACATGTTTCCTTTGTTTGGTGACTGTGTGATCAATGGCAATTATAATATTGAATGGTGCAGCAATTGTCTTTTGTTATGTATGCTGCAATGTCCTTCACATATGACGTAATACTGTTCTGTTCCATCTCAGTTTTCCAGCTGTAAAAATCTATAGCAAAAGATGAAATTATAGAAATGTTTGTTGAAAATCTTCATAATTAAAAGTTGACAAACCATTAATAGAAGAAAACAGTTTGTCTTTGTGTCAATATTGATGTGATGATGACACTCAATATGTTTTGTAGTGCGCTGTACCGTGTGTAAGCATTCCCGCAATCCTGAATGGGGCAAGTAATTCTGAGAACCCTTGAAAACCCTATAAATGAACAATTATGGTAACTTTGTGGATGTAATATTAAATATATTTAAATAATACTTATATTTTAATACCTGTAAAATGTTCTGAGTACAGCAAAGCATTATCTTGGGGTCTGGGTCGCGTTGGGGTCACTGGAAAAGATGTGAGCGATCTGGATGATTGGGAAAGTAGTGGGGAAGATGGTTGTCGAATAAAGGAAACAGTATTGGAATTAGCGGTTGTCATATGAATTGGTGAAGCAGGAAGCGCATCCGAGTGGAAGGATGTTGTAGGAATTGGTGAAGCAGGAAGAGCATATGAATGGAAGGATGTTGTAGGGATTGATGTAGCAGGAAGAGCATATGAATGGAAGGATGTCGTTGGTATTGGTGAAGAAGGAAATGATGTAGAAGGATTGGCAAAGCAGGAAGAGTTGTGTAAGAAGTTTGTGAAGCAGTAAGGGTACATGAATAAGAAGTAGTGGAAGGAATTAATGAAGAGGGTAGAGCATAAGAATGCAGTGCAAGGGATGTTCTGGATTAATTCGGGAATCATAAAAATACGTGCATTGGAGTTTGGAGTCTGTGGGAGATGTATCAGGAACGGAAGAATGAAAAGTTTTGATGTGCCTTTGTAATGAGGAAGGAGCATGCAAAATTTTTGGCACAATGTACATTCAAATTTGAAAGTACTCCTTAGGCTGTATGTGATGTACTAACTTGTTGTGACAGCAAAGAGAACTAGTGGAAGCAAAAGTTTTAAAGCAATGGATACATTGGTTTTGCTTTTTCATATTGAATATAAAAAGAAAAGGGTTGAACTATAGTATAAACCTAAACTAACTTAAGCTATGATTAAAAGATAACTTATGTATAAAAAAAAAATATGAACTAAAATATGAAAACCTATAATATGAGCTAAAAGTAACGTAGGAACCAACTAACGAGATAAATATGAAATTCTTAAATGAAAAGAAATCTAACCTAAATGTAACCTACCTTAACCTATAAAAATATGAACAAAATAATAAACTTAGTAATTAAAAAAATAAATGTTAATATAATAATGACGAGCAACACACGATTCACAAGAAAATTATACTAAAACCGTATTAATAACGCACAAAAAATTAAAAAACGAGGTAGCAAAAAAACACCGGAAAAATAATAGACGAACAGACGAACACATAGCACGAAAACCACACAAATAAAACATAATAACGCTAAAATCCCATTCAACTCTGCAGCGAATGTGAAACACTTCTGACGTATAATACAGCAAACTTCACACCCCAAAAAGGAACATTGTAGTGACTGCATAAGGACACTCATGCGCTTAACACTTTTGTTTTTTTATCATAACCTATTTAGTTAACTGTCACTTTGACAGATTCGTCGTCGTTTGTTTTTGACATTTTCTCTTTATGTTGGTACACATGTTTGATGTTTTTTGAGCTGTCAAATTAGTGTGTTTCAACTCCGCATTTCACTTTCGTTAATATTATTTGTAAATATTTAAGAAATATCAGAAAATATTATTATATTATATTTATTTAATGCTGTAATAATACAAGAAGCAAAATGCTTCAATTACAAACATATGCTAGTAGCAGTGACGACGAAAAGGCTTCAGACGCAGAAGAATCTAAAACTAACCTAGAAGATTACACACAACATTTAAAACCAATTTCGAAACAAATTTCTAGTTCTATACAGATATGTGCAGCTCCGAATGTGGTTCCTACTGTAAATAAATTTTATATTAATATCTTTAAACTATATATGTAACTTAATTGCATCTTTCAATATTATGAAATTATACTAGACAATGTTATTCGTCAAAACTTGTACTTGAAAAGCTAAACCTCTTGTTTGAATCTTGGCTTGCAATAATTACAATTTTCATAACAATAATAAACTAATACATAAGTTCTAATTGGATTTGTTGAATTTTATTTATGAATTTCTTTTATAATTTATCTATTACTTTTAGGGAGCCGTGGAGTGTGTTCGACACATAGATCCAACAGCCAAAGAAGTTACTTACAATCCCAAATTTGATGAAATGTTTTCTCCTGTCGTCGGACCAGAAAATCCTTTTATCACAGAACAAATGGCTGCACGCAGAAATATGTTATCGGGTTTTGTAGAACAGGCTCACATTAGTGAATTTCAATTTGAAAATCAAAGAAGAACCTTTACAAGTTACGGATATGCATTAGACCCTACTGTAGACGGTACTCCTGATGATGGAAATAAAATAATCGGTAAGAATAGTTGATAATCTTCAAAATCAAATAGGTTTCCACAATTTTATATATTTCATTTTATATTATTTTAGGTGCGTCTGATATTGCAAGTGAAAATGGTTTGAAGACAGTTTTTGAATCCACTAAACCGAGACCTTTAGACAAACGGAAAAAGCTGAAAAATGATAAACCTGAAGATATTGAAGGTTTTCTTGGACCGTGGGCAGCGTATGAAGATCAGAAGTTTGTTGCCAAGCCTAGTCAAGAAGAGGCTGAAGAACTGGAAGAACTTTTGGCTAAAAGACAAAAGAGGACTCGACATGTTGAAGAGAAACCACTGGAAGAGAAAACAGTTTTGCATAGTAAGCAAAAATTTTATTACATATATATTGTAAAATTCACTTAAAATCTATTGATTGGAACATAAAATTCTCATGAAATTGTTGATTGACTATGGATTATATGTATTTATTGATAATGGATTTTTTTTCAGTAAAAGATATTGTGGACTACCAAGGTCGAACATTTCTTCATGCACCGCATGACGTTGGAGTCAATCTCAAATCCAGTTCACCACCAGATCGTTGTTTTCTCCCAAAATCACACATTCACACATGGCAGGGACATACAAAAGGAATTGCTGCGATCAAATGGTTTCCAAGAACTGCACATTTATTGCTATCTGCTAGCATGGACTGCAGAGTTAAAGTAAGTCTTAATAATTAATAAATGATATGCTATTTATTAAGTTTACAAAAAATCTTAATGGGCTGTAATTTTTATCATTGATTTAAATATTTTATTATGCAAAATAATAAATTAATGTTGTGGGTTATTTATTTTTTGTTAGATATGGGAGGTTTATAAAGAAAGAAGATGTATACGAACATACTATGGACACAGGCAAGCTGTTCGAGATATTAGTTTTAACAATAGTGGACACAAATTTTTATCAGCAGGTAAATTTGCAAATTTATACCTTATTTTTTTAGCCCTTTTAAATCATATAGATATATGTAAAAAAAGTCCATGTGGAGACAGTTGTTTTTTATTTCCTATTTATATGTAAAATATTATTTGTCTTTTTTTTAGCTTATGACAGATACATAAAACTCTGGGATACTGAAACCGGGGATTGCATATCACGATTTACAAGCAGGAAGATACCATTTTGTGCCAAATTTCATCCTGATGAAGATAAGCAACATTTGTTTGTAGCTGGAACATCTGATAAAAAGATCATATGTGTAAGAATTTTTTAAATTATTCTAACATTAAAATTAATAGAACATTTTATTATTTTTCATGTCAATTTTTTTGAAACTAGTGGTGCATGGCATTGCGCCTTAAGGCCAGTACCAAAAAACTTTGAAAAAATTAGATTTTTGAGAATTTTGAAATTTTTGATATGGGTTTTAATATATGGATTTCAAAAAAACGACCCTTTTTCAAAGCAACCGCACTCCTTTAGCTGGTTGAATTTGAAATATCGAAGCGCGTAAGCGCCGCGTTGCAGGCTAACGTATAAACAATGTTACGGAACCGATAAAAATGTGAACAAAATGTTTACCTATGATCAAAATTTCTATAAAATATTTGATTATTTGATTTGCATAAGTCCAATGATCATTTTTGACCGTCAAATGACAAGTTTTTACTTTTTTTGCTTGATCTTCGAAACCGCTGAACCTGCCTTTCCAAAAATTTAATCATTGCTTCACTTTGTCAATACAAGAAATTTGTTTTTTTAATAATTCAAATCGGTTGATCCGTGCTCCCGAAATCGTCGACGAATTTTTTTTATCTGAACACACATACACATACATCCAATTTTTTTATGGTATGCCAAAATATTCAAAAACCCTCTGAAACTTAAAGATATATAAAAAACTTTGTTTAAGGTTTTTTTGCAAGTACTATAACTTACTTATAAGTCTTTATTTTCTAAATTTAATTTTTAACTTTCCGTAGGGCAAGAAAAAATTGATGTATGTGTGTAAGTGCGTGTGCAGATACAATTTTTTTTCGACGATTTCGGGAACACTGATCAACTGATTAGAATAATTTAAATAACATTCGATTCTTATTGATAAGGAGACGTGCTGATTAGTTTTTGGCAAAGGCAGGTCTAGCCGTTTCAAAGATACGGTGCAAAAAATAGCAAGTTCTTAGAGAACAAATTGGCCGATTTGAGAGATTCAAAAAACATTCGATTCGTATTGATGTGGAGAGGTACTGATTAGTTTTTGGTATAGGCAGGTCCAGCCGTTTCGAAGATACAGAGCAAAAAGTGCAGAAATTCCGATTAGATCCTTGACATCCGCTCATAGCGTTGTGCGTGAGCATGTCGTTATAGCTGAGTTGGTTGGCGCATCTTTAATAATTTATAATATAATAAATTAAATAATAATAATTTTTTTAATACTTTTTATGTTTGTATAGTTTATACTACACGAACTATTTAAAATTGTTAACTCAGTGCATATACTTTGCGAACGAAAAATTGATGCATTTGAAATTAAATATGTTCATTCTAACAACAAGTCCGCTTAATTAGATATTGTTTATATATATTTCATTCAAACAAATATAAGCAACGTCGTCTAATCTAATAAGTTTTCACATTTTGTCTACAAGGAACAAATAAAGAAAATTCTAGTTTTTATAATATTTATTCATAGACATTTTTGTTGACTGATTATTTCTATTCTTCGAATGTTTAATTACGGTACGGGAAGTTCCAGCAATTTGCGTTAAGGTACGATGCCATACACTACTAGTTCATTTAACTTATGTCATTCATATTTTTCCAGTGGGACACAAGATCAGGTGAAATAGTCCAAGAGTACGACCGTCATCTTGGAGCAGTGAACACGATTACTTTTGTAGACGAAAACAGACGTTTCGTAACCACTTCTGATGATAAAAGTTTGAGAGTCTGGGAATGGGACATTCCTGTGGATATGAAGTACATCGCTGACCCTACCATGCACTCGATGCCAGCTGTTACAGCATCACCAAATGGAAAATGGTTGGCATGCCAATCCTTGGACAATAAAGTGGTGATCTTTAGTGCTCTTAACAGATTTAAAATGAATAGGAAGAAGACGTTTTCGGGACACATGGTGGCCGGTTATGCTTGTGGGCTTGATTTCTCACCAGACATGAGGTAATAATAATCTGTAGTAATAACACAGGTCCACAAAAAAATGAATAGTTGTCTGTATTACGTTATACCAATCTAGTCAAAATTGCGGCTCAAATAAATACGCAAAATCTCCGATCTAGTCAGATAATTAAAATCTTATAATTTCAATCGTTTTTTTTTTTTTTGGCGTTTTTACCCTAAATGACTATTGAGTTACAATTAAAGGGGTCTTCCTATGTGACGGCCTGTTTTTTAGGGATATTTTAGGATTTTTTTTCTACGACCAGTAAATATTTAGAGCTTCAAGTTTTTTATCATTTATTAACACATATTTGGACAGTATAAATATAAAATTTCAGCTAAAAATATTCAGTCAAACTAGAGTTATAGCACTCTGAACACCCCCGCTTCGAAAAAAAGAGCTCTCACTTCCTCCACGATTCCGGCTGATCGGCTTATCTGAAAAAAAAAAATAAACGGCGTTTTAATTTATAGGCTTAAAAGCACGGAATGACCTATAATCAAATGAATATAAAAAAAATGGATTTTTCATAGACATTTGAAATAAAAGTTGCAAATTAGGCGATTTTTTTTTTTGTTTTTTGCTATAAAAAATCGAAGTTTTCGATTGATAATAGTTCATTCCATGCGTTTAAATATATTGAGTGTGCCCTATAAATTTCAAGTAATTCGGTCCAGCCGTTTCTGAGATACAATGGAGGAAAGTTTGAAAAACACGTTTAAAGTTTCAAGTCCGTTAAAAACTATTAAGAACCGCTCTTTCTTTTACCTGCTGTATCTTTAAAACGACTTCGAATTTTCTAAAATCGCTTTACTACTGCATTCTAGACATGCTAAGGGAGCAATTTATGAAAAAAAATCGATTTTTTCAACCCATCACATAGGAAGACCCCCTTAAATGTTTTATTATTATTACTTTTAGTGTTTTTCATAATTCAGCATTATCATATCTTCTTATTATTTTTCAGCTACTTGGTTTCCGGTGATGGAGATGGCAAATGCTATATATGGGACTGGAAAACGACAAAGCTTTTCAAAAAGTGGAAAGCTCACGATAGTGTTTGCATTGGAACTCTTTGGCATCCTCATGAACCTAGTAAATTGGTCACAGCAGGTTGGGACGGTTTGATTAAATATTGGGATTAAACATTAATGTATTTAATTTAAAAAAGGTTCTTAAATAATAATAAGTGTGTAACAAAGTTTTATTTAAGAAAAATAGGTACTTTAAAGTAGTCTTAACTATGAATATATATTCTGTTTGTGTACAATATGAAATAAATTACTATATATATTTTTATACAAGCTGATTTTAAATATGCGATTATAAAGACATTTTGATAAGCTTGACGGATTTTTTATTATATACTAGCTGGCCCGGTAAACGATGTTTAGGAGGCGTCCGTTAATCACGTGATCGATTTTTTAGGGATTATTGGACTTGGACTTGGACCTTTGTGATACGTGGTCAAATTCAAAATTAACCCTTCCCTCTCCCCCTCAAACATCACGTGTATTTTTAGTTATGTGAAAAATGGTAAAAATCCAGAATTTTTTTGAAAATTCAGGTAAAAACTAAATACACTTGATATCTTATTATACCCCTACCTCCCCCACGTGATATTTTGTGATTTTTTTTTAAACCACACCATTTCCTTAAAAACCGCACATTTTTAGAACATTTTTAGTATAAAATTGGTGAATTTGTCACTCAGTTATAAATTGCCATCAAAATTACAAGTCTCAAATCACAGACGGTGTAAGAATTTACTTGATGATGTGTGTTAATAATAATTATACAAAACTTTGACTTGAATTGCGGACTATATAAATATTAATGTTAAGAGCTAAAATTTTTAGATAATTTTTTCTTATTAATTTGGAAGCGTTTGAGCCCCTGAGGTAAGAAAATCGAAAATGTTCATATTAGGGACCACCCTTATTAGGCAATTAAAAAAACTTTATTTTTCTCAACAATCCATAAAAATATTAACTTTGGTTATAAATAAAATTAAATATATATAAATATTTACTTTTATAATTTGTTAACTAATAATCTTAATGTATTTTGCATCTACAAAAAATGGGATTTGTTGTAAGCTGATGAAAATTTAATATTTTTTGTATTTTTTAATTCCGCATTTAAAAAATCAAAATAAAAAAGATCGATCCCAAAAATGAAAAAAAAATTGTTATGAAAAAAAAATTTCAAAAGGAAAAAACATTCATTGGGAAAACTTCAAAAACATTGATTCGGGATGAAAAATTATTCGATTACTAACATTAACTTTTTCGAAATAGGGGTTTGTGGTAAGAGAGTGAAAATGTAGGGCTGTATTTGTTCTTTAGTTACGATTTATAAAAAAAAATCTTAAGAATGACCCCAACCCTTACCACTTAGTGATATGAAAAATAGATGTAAGGGATTTGAAAAATTTCATAAACCGGTCAAGCCGTTTCGGACTTGTCTAACTAACATCATGATACAAGAATTATATATATACATATATATATATATATATATATATATATGTATATATATTTATATATTTTTTTAATATTTTTATTATTTTAAAAGAAAACGTAGCAAGAAAAACGCCGCGCTTGCGCCTTAAGAAAAATCAATATTCTATAAAGTCGTGCTACTATGTGACCAAAATGCGTTAAAAACATTCTAATGACTCTAGTAATTGTATACATTTTAATTCGTATAAATTTCTAAAAATAATTATAACCAATGTGCAATTAAACTAAAATTATTAATTTCCAAAAACGAAATATTTTCCATAGATTTACGCGCATGCGTTTTGTGTGTTTATTTCACATTTGTCAATGTATACAATTTTCTTCGGTGTAATAATGTAGTTAACAACATAGTTGATACATTGTATTAATATGTTATTTAAAAATTTTGAATGTTAGAAGTTTAGGCAAAAATCTGTAGTGTTTAGTGTTTTGTTATAAAATGTTTATTGTGATAATCAATATTATTTGAGATAAATGTGGTTAAATTAGATAGCGAAGTGCGTATTGAAATTTTTAGAATCAATGTCACATTAAAATAATTTTTTTTTTTTAAATTATATAGTAATTTTTACACCTGTCCTGAAACGGACATTAAGTGAAAATCTTTTAACCATTGTTAGAGATTTTGTATATTGACTTCTGATTTTGAATTTATATTTGAATATAACATGAATTTCTTTTTTAAAATAATTATCATAAATTTGAAGCATTAATTCAAACAAAAGTTCTTTGTGTTTAATGATTAGGTTTATCATATCAGTTTCAATTAATTAAAGACTGAAGACCGTAAATTTTTACTAACAAAATTATCTTGTCGTTGATACTTAAAATAATTAAATTTATTTGTTCATATTATAAACATCACACTATTTTTAACAAAATTATTATTACTTAAATAATTGCATTATATGAATTTAGTACATTTTGTACATTTTTTCCAAATAACTTTTAATTTTCATTCCGGACATTGTAATTTGTTTACATTAGTAAAAACTAGATAAAATGTACTAAAATTTAGTAAAGAAAATTATATACCCTTGGATATTAAAATTTTTAATAATTCGTAAATGTACTAAATCCATTTTTTTACTTTTCTTCAAATAACTTTTAATTTTCATTTCGGACATTGTAAATTGTTTACATTAGTAAAAACTAGATAAAATTTACTAAAATCTAGTAGAAACTTTTGTGTAGTCTTGGATATTAAAAATTTTCGTAATTAGTAGTTCAAATACGGACTTTAGTATTTTCATAATTTGCATTATATGGATTTTGAACATTTCTTTTACTTTTTTTCAAATAACTTTTAATTTTCGTTCAAGACAATATTAATTATTTCCATTAATAAAATCTAGATAAAATTTACTAAAATTTAGTACAAACAGTTATATAAACTTGGATATTCAAATTTTGCACAATTTGTAGTTGAAATGTGGATTTTAGTATTTTGATAATTTGCATTACATGGATTTAGTACATTTTCTTACTTTTTTTCAGATAACTTTTAATTTTCATCTAGGACATCATTAATGGTTTCCATTAGTAAAAGCTAGATAAAATTTATTAAAATTAAGTACGAATAGTTATATACACTTGGATATTAAAATTTTCAATAATTCGTAGTTGAAATGCGGACTTTAGTATTTTTCAAAATTTGCAATTAATGGATTTAGTACATTTTGTGCATTTTCTTCAAATAACTTTTAGTTTTTGTTGCGGACATTATAATTTGTTAACAATAGCAAAAACTAGATAAAATTTAGTACAAACAGTTATATACAGTGGGATATTAAAATTTTCCATAATTCGTAGTTGAAATGCAGACTTTAGTATTTCCATAACTTGTATTATATGGATTGAGAACATTCTTTTTTACTTTTTTTTCAAATAACTTCAAATTTTCATTCAGGACGTTATTGTTTGTTTAAATTAATAAAAACTAGATAAAATTTACTAAAATTTAGTAGAAAATTTTTATATACTTTTGTATAAAATATAAAAATTTCCAATAATTCGCATTTGAAATGCAGACTTTAGTCTCACCTTTGATCTAATTATTTTTATCGTTATTTTAAAATATTATTAAAATTGTTAATGATAATCCTAATATTGTTTGAACTAGCATAAATAGTTTATTATCACAATCTTGACAAAAAATTTAGATTACAAAATATTACATTAAATTAATCATAAACCCATAATAAAAGCTGTATATAAACTTATACATTTCTTTTAAGTTTAGGCTGATAAAAAGTTTTTAAATATACTATAAGCCCTTTATCACCATATCATATGTGACCGACATGGCTTTAAAAAATTAGATTAAATTAATTAAAAATCAATTACAAAATGGCAAATAAACAAGACGGCTTAGGCTTGGGTTATTCGTACGAATTTCCTTCTGCCGGTGTCGGTTTGAGAATAAAAAATGCCCTGTCGCAATTTAGCGATTTGTTTAGCGAATTCAACAGGTATATTGCACCTGCTTATCATCATGATCGATGTGAAAGGTGAGATAATATAATATATGATATGTTGATGTAATTAAATTAATAAAACATATTTTTTAATTTTAGATCGGTGTACATGCGTCTGTATTCGATGCACAAGAGGGAATTCGTGATGGTGTTCTTGGCGTTTTTTGCCTGTTTTGGACTCGGAATATTTATAGGATTAGCAGGTACATTTATAGAACAATATATTACTTTTTGTAAGTTTATATAGTACCCCCGACATACGAGTTAAATTCGTTCGGTAACAACGCTCGTATGTGTAATCGCTCGCATCTCGAATTTTTTTTTGAAATATAAATATTGCAAAGATTGAAATGCCATTAATTCGTTACAGCACTATGGTTTTTGTTAAGTTGTTTGAATAATAAAAATGAATTTATTTATTAATTTAATTATTGTTTTATCCTGTCGATCGATTCATGATATTGAGGAAATGAGTTAGACATGCTTCGTTGAACAACTATTGATTTTGATTTTCAAAATTTCAGAGCCAAGAAAACTGCTTATATTTGTATAAATTATTGTATGCCCCTTAGCTGGATTTATACCCTTTATATCAACTTCAAATCTATGATGTGTTGCCATTCTCTTATTTTCCAATAATTTCATGCTTTAATTCAAGAAACGTACCTTTTCTTTTGGATCTATGGTTACCATAATAATACCCAATGAACTAGAAAAGTTGAAATAATGTAACACAGAAGAAACGTTGTTACGAAGTTTATAGTTATGCTAATAAAACGTACATATTATGTATACTTGTAGCCTTGTTCGTTACGTTACATAGATTTATCATTTATACGATATAGTTTCATTGTTGTAACCTCAAAGTAACGATTGGTTTTAAAGGAATCGACGTATAACTTACGATGTTACATATTTTTTTTAATATTTAGATATTCACATGTATTCACATGTTTATTTATGGCATAGGCTTCATTTCGAATAATACGTAATATTAATTACACTAATCTATATTTCTTCAGGTCCTCCGATTACCATAACACAAGAATATAGTGGTGTAAAAATTTTGGCAAACAACACTAATAATAAAATACATGCGGATTTGTCCAGAGGTCCATTCGTTATGCATTCACCAGAATTTGGCACCTACAACCAGCAACTCTGGCTAATTGCTGAAGTTTCAACCAAGAACTCTGATGGTGAGAATTTTATATTGGTGTATTCAGTTATTAACAATTTTCAATAGATTAGAATATCTAAGCATTTCTATCTTATATTGCATTTAGATTTTTGAATAAAAAAATTATGAAAGCTTGCCCAAAACGTCGTCAATATTGCAACTGTTAGTAAAAGTGCACTGAGAAAACGTTCGAAACCATTGGTAAAATAATCAATGAGACTTTTATTCGAAAATAATGCTCTCAACCTGAAAGATAATTCTTGTAAAATCTAGGCAGTTATAAATGGTGTCATTATGGTTGTACAACCTTGCAGGTTGTAAATAGTTTTAAATCTAAATACCACTTGCTCTGTGTGGGTGATTAGTGTTTCGGTCATAAATGCTAGTTACATATTTAATTATGGTCATAAAACTATTACAATTTTCATAAAATTCACAATTAAGCTTAATTAAATGATCTTCATTGCGTTTACAGATGAGGTGTTTGATAAAGTCTTCCATATCGGTGTCTCAATTGATGGTCTCAATGAGGATCACACCGCTACGTCAATTTTACGAAAACACAGCAAAAATAATAGGTAAATTTTATTTAATACACACACACACATTTAATATAATCATGATTTTTTTTAGAACTCGTCATTTGCACTGCAGTGGTCACCATTGTGATGAATTCGTTGTTTTGCATTTAGGATTTCTGGCCTACTCTCATTACTCGATAAGCGTTTCTTTCTATGGCCTGGAAGGATTACACAAGAGATATACATTCCAGGATGTCAAATTTTATGTAAGTACTAAACATATACAATGCAATACAATTTATATATATTTCAAAAAAACTCACAACTTATTTATAACTGTAGTCACATATTGAATTCAAATTATAAATGTCTTAAAAGTTCTTATTTTTTATCATAGATTTTTGTAATTTAGAAGTTTTATTACCATTGGCTTAAGTATGTTTTGGTGAGGTTGCCTAAGTCGTACCCCGGTTGTATTAAATATGTTTTGGTATTTAATTTTCACTCTTATAAAAATAACCAGGTCGTGGTTGCCTAAGTCGTACCCTATCTAAAATATGCTTCGGTTTTTATTCTTTACTATTATGAGAATAACCAGGTTGTGGTTGCCTAAATCGTACCCCGCCTGGAATATGTTTTGGTTTTTAATATTTACTTTTATGAAAACAACTAGAGTGAGGTTTGGTTTAAAATCTGTATTATTACGAAAATAATTAGGGTCAGGTTGCCTAAGTCGTAGCCCATTTGAAATATGTTTTAATTTTTATTATTTACTCTTATGAAAATAACTAGGTTGTGGTTGCCTAAGTCGTACCCCAGTTATAATCCATTATTTTTTTCTCAGAAAATGTTTTGGTTTTTAATCTTAACTATTACGGTAATACCTAGTGAGGTTGCCTAAGTCGTACCTCGGCTATATTTTTTTTGACTTAATAAATTATATCATCTGGTTACTTTAATTTTAAACTAAATGTAAGCAATTAGAAGAATAGTTAGCAACTAAAAACTAAAGAACAGTTGATCTCTCACTGAGTTCTATACAGTTTTTTAGTAATAGGTTGACTAACTCTGTAGGTGGTACGACTAAGGCAACTAAAATGTAAAAATACCTTTTTTTAATAAAAAAATCAATGTTTTGGTATTTGTTAATCATAAGCTAGCTAAATAAAAATTTAATAAGTTATTATAAATTATTTATGAAATAAAAATTTAATAAATAATTGTTTCCTTAGGCTGTACGACTTAAGCAACTTTACTCTACAATTTTTATTTATCTGTACCCATGTTACTTAATAAAAAATATTATATAAATAAATAAATGAATACATTTTTTGTCTAATAATTTACATTTTACCATTTATTTCTAGTTCAAAACATACAATCCAGCTTTTACGCAGATCGAGATATGGTTCCGTTTATTTTTCCTAATTGGTGCCTTCATGGTTACGGTAATAAACATTATTGATTTTATCCAGAATTATTTGAATAACAAAATGATTATTTATTCCAGTGCTTCTTCGCCCATTCTTTGAGACAATACCCAATCAACGATTGGTCTATGGAACAGAAATGGATATCTATACTTCTACCGTTGCTCCTTCTCTATAACAGTAATTAAATCCAAACTAATAGTTTAAAAAAGTAATTAATTGCTTTATACTTAATTAAATCTTTTTTCAGATCCCGTTTTCCCTCTGACATTTTTAATTGATTCCTGGTTACCAGGAATGATGGATGCGTTGTTCCAGGCGACTTTCTTATGTGCCCTGTTGTTGTTTTGGCTGTGCGTTTATCATGGTCTAAGACAGGTGAATATTTATTATGGACTAATAAGGTCAGCCTGATATCAAGTAGTTCTGGAGGCAACCTATTGTTTTTTTTTTCAGAATGAACGTACCTTATTGGGATTTTATGCTCCCAAATTAATTGTAATAGTTCCTTTATGGCTTTGCGCTGTGGTGCTTTCGGCTTGGCAAAAATGTGACGAAAAACAGGATCCGACTTACAATCACATTGTTGATGCTGATAATTATTACGTAAGTAATTGAAAATATGCTTTATTTATTTTCATTTAGAATAATTATAATCGTTGGCGTAAGTCCACTGCTCAAATAAGCATTTTTGGGCAACCTGATATCAAGCAGCAATGATACTTAAAATATTTGAATATAGTATATGGAAGTAAAGTTAGTGAAATTCGCGTTATTGCATCTAATTAAAAACGTATCTTCAGTGTCGGAGAAACTTTAATAACAAAAACGTATCAAATGTAAATGGACAACCTTTGGGTTGCTTAGGAGAAGTGTCGTTTAGCTTTTACAAAATACTGCCTCGGTCAGCATAATATTCCTCTTCGTAATATATGATGAGGGAGAGTGTTATCACATTAAAAGTTCAGTTTTTGGTCAGCCTAAAATCAAGCAGTAGTAATGGTCAATATTTCCTCTTTGTAATATGATGAGGGAAAGTTTTATCACAACAAAAATCTGGCTTCTTGTCAGTCTGATATCATTCAACTTGTTAATATGATAAAGAGAATTGTTGTCACAGTAAAAGTTAGGCTTTGTATTCACAAAATCCTTGATTTAAACAGGCGCCTCGGCTAGCCTGGTATCAAGCAGTAGTAATGACCTATATTTCCATTTGAATAGTTTCCAGATTCATGTGGAAATAACTTTTTACTGGCATTGCTGCGTTAAATTAAAATTATCATTATTATTAGCGATATTTTGAAAAAAATATTTATTGTACGGAGATAAGACAACCGTTGGTTTGTCTTTTAAAAAGTGGCGCTGTTAGGTAATAAATTCTTTTTTATCCGTTGTACAAAAATAAAAATAAAATAAAAAAATAATTAGAGCAAGGCGAAGGGGAGGGGGGTGTATAATATTCTGGCATCATAAACTAAACAACAATGCTCAAAGCCAAAAAAACTAACAACGAAACAAATACTTTCGTTAAATAAATTTTAATGTAGCCGATTATCAATAATCTTGCCCGATTTAAGTTGATGACTGGTTGCCTTCTACTTTAAAATATTATCTTTATTTTCTATTCAAGGGCTTCAAAGTGTTTTTCTTCATCAACGGAGTGATCTATCTCGTCTATCTTCTAACACTAATTTTAAAAGCCTACAGCGAGCTGAGATCTATGCCATTTTTTGGTAAGTGATTAGAAAAATTACAAAACAATATTTATTAAATTTGAATTATAATCATAATTATATTATTTTCAGATATGAGGTTGAGATTTCTGACCCTCTTGATGATTTGCGTTGCCAGTGTTATAACAGCTGAGATTTGTATGAAATTTGCTCCTGGACCAGTAGTCGATGAGTTTGTGTCCGCTCTGAACGCTCATTATGATAGCAGTGCCCATTTTATGGCTCTTTATGGCCTTTTGAACTTCTATACTTACTCAATGGCTTATGTTTATGCACCTTTGGATAGACCTCCTCATGGTAAAATATTTTATATTTAATATCATATGCATATTTACCATGTGAAGCAAAAATTTTCTATTTTTTGACTGTAGTTTTTTAATATTTTTATATCTGTTCTTTTAACAGAGGCTCCTCTAACAAAAGACAATCCAGCATTTTCAATGGTAACGGAATCCGATGAAGAAGTTGTATTTGGTTCAGACGATGAACAACAAGCAAGAAGGCCTCTCAATTCACAAAGAGGTGATTACGATAGTGACTGATGATGTTATTATTAAAATAATTAAATAATATTAACATATTGTACAGTTTTGAATATTAATTTGTGATGCTAACTAAATGTTTATTTTCTGTATTAAAAATTACTGTTTATGAATGTGAATGGGGTGAAATGAATTTTATTTGTTTGATTATGCTTTCCGATAACCCATCCTTATCAAACAAATTTAAGTCTTTTGGAAATGAAATAAGATAAAGTGTTAATTTGTTCTCAATGTTTGAGTTAATTGAATTTTTATTTCACAGATAATTATTGAACTATTTTTTTAAATATTGGAGATTTAAAAAGTTTCTTTCTAAATCTGAAGTTTAAACATTGTTTAAAGTGATAATTATATATTTATTTTACAAATAGTTATATATATATACTTTAGTTACTTAGTTATATTATACTTTTATTTCACAGATGATTAGTAAAAGTTTTTTCTCAATCAACGGAGACTCTTAAGTTAATATTTGTAAAGTTTTGCGAATTTGCAAAACTTTACAAATTTGTTGAACACTAGATTATAATATATAGAAAATATATATTTTTTAGAAGATAATTAGTAAATGATATATACTTATTTTTATTTATAAGGGACATTTTAAATTATACTCTGTTTATGCAAAACCATCAGTAACAATAATTTTAAAAAATATATTTGGAAGTTCATATTAAATGTTTTAACTGAAACTTGTAATTAAAAATTTAATACTTATTTAAACAACTTTAATTAAAAAAAAAATTGCCAAGTAATTAAATGTAAATTTCATGCTCTTTGGCTATTAGAACAAAAGAAAATAACATTAGTTAAATAAGTTTTTTAAATTATGCAATAAATATTTTGTAGCTTTTAATTAAATTTATAAAAAACATGGTGGTATAATCAACAATTTGGAGATGATCTTTAGTATTTTACTAAATTCGCTTCATAAAACATAATTTATTTATAGCACCATTCATTATTAATTTTTTTTAAATAATTCACTATTCGCGCTCTTTTTCAAATATTCCTGCTACTCTGGTAACACTTATTATTTTGACAGTTCTCGATGTGACAGCCGACACCAGCGCCGCAGTTGCGCTCCGCCACCGCAATCCTTACTTCGTTGGAAAAGAGGAATTTGGCCGATGAGATCAGGCAGGCTCTCTTTCATCAAATAGCATTTAATTGTCCTTTATTATTCAATTAAAACAGCTCAGTGACTCAAATATATATTGAATAAAATGTGAATAATAGTCGGATATCGATTGAATACACGTTTGCCGTTGAAATTCTGTGCTAAGTTAATGTTATGACAGCATAAATAACAAGACTGACAGTTTAGTTTTAACAATTCATCATGGGCGATGGAAGAGATATTGAACGACAGCCATTGATTCAAAATGATGGAACTGGAAGCCTTAGGAATCAAGGATCCTATACGGAAGGTTAGATGAAATAATAATGGATACATTAATTGCTATTGTTTTTCAACAACTACTTGTCAAAGTTATAACATTGTTGGTACTTAATTTACAATATATAGCATCGCGTGATGCTGATTTGATGAGTGTATACTATTAGTTATAAACAATACTTATCTTTTTGCCATAAATTTTGCATTATTGCTGATTTAGTGTGAATTTTTCTTCATACAAATTTTGACAATTGCCATCGGCCGACGCCATCTTCTATTTATAGTCGTCACGAATTCTTATCGCTAATTGTTGATAGTTTGCACGAACAAAAGCTATGTTTATTGTTTATTATTAAATATTTTTATTCAGACACTAACTTGCATAAAAAATATGATGATTAATGAATCATTTCGCAACTTGATATAAGAATAAATTTGTGCTTTATTATGCTAAATGTTTTTGTATTCTGGTACTCATAAATTTCAATTTGATTATTAAAAATCAATCAATCAAGTTCTACTTATTTAGATTTTTTTTATTTACATACTATTAAATATTATACACAGCTAAGTGCTGATGCATTTTTGTTAGAAAATCAAAGACATTTTTCAATACAACTTTATTCTGTAATGTATTGTCCATTTTCATAGATGACTTTTCAGTATTTTTCAAGCAGCATCATCGTCTCACTTTAATAAATCTTCTGGCTTTATTAGAAAAACACTGGATCAACTACAATTTGACATAATCATCAATATCAAACTTTTTTAATTCAAGGAGTTTTGTAAAGATTGAAACTAAAAGTAACCAGTTGGTGTAATATCAGGTCTATATGGTGGATGTGGCAGAATATTCATCAACCAAACTCCAATAATTTTTGCCAAAGAATTTTTTTTTACCAACTCAGGCAGATTTTCTTCAACTGCATTGCATAATTTTTTCAGTTGTTCAATGTAGACATCAGAATTCATTGTTCGGTTGGGTGGTAAGAGTAAAAGTAGACAATTCTGTTGTACTTTCTCCCTCGACTATCTTAACTTCAACTGGATGACCAGAGTGTTTCAAAAACCACTAGAACAAAATTTGGTAAACCAGATTTTAATTTCAACAAAGCCATTGTTTTAAGGCATCATAAAGAACTCATAACTTTTTTTGAGCTTAAGATGCCTCTTTACCTTTGCAGAAATAAAACTGCAAAATTCATACGACAAAAATTTTCAATTTCATTTTCTATCAATCAATTAAAAAACTTTTTTGTGCTAATTGGCATTTGAATTGCCTTCTATCAACTATCCTTTACCAAAAGGTTTTTCAATTTTACATTCAGACTACTTAAGAAAATCTAAAAATTCAATTGAAACCATATAAGCTAAAAACTGCACATACTTAGTTGCCAATTTAATGTTCAGCAAAGAATAGTAAATGATTTGTTGACTGCATCAATTTACAAATTAAATGTAATAGAGATTAGTTCGTATTCAAGGTATCATCATTTATGTGTCAGCAAATTTTTAACCATGTTTGCAATTTTATTTGTAAAACTAGATTTAACAAAAAAGTTAATAGTTTTTGCATTTTTAATTTAATTGTTATTAACTTTTCTTAGGAAAAGTTATAGTATGTAATTGCAAAAAATTGAATATATCTTTTTTGTTTATTTTTGCGTTTCAAGACTTCCTGAAAGTTTTGGCACAACTTTGAAAAAATGAATTTATGTGTGTGTATGTACGTGCGGATTTTTTGTTGACGATATCGAAATCACGAATCAACGGATTTGAATGATTCCTATTAATTGGGAGACGTGCGAATTAGTTTTTGGCAAAGGCCGGTCTAGCTGTTTCGGAGATACAGGGACCGCATTAAAGAAAAATCTTACGGCAAGGTCATCCTACTTAATAACTTCCATACATTATGCTACTGAATAATACTGAATACTGTCAAAATGTCATGTATTTGCTGTTCATTCGGGCGTTTTACACATAAACTGCAACGTCACTCGTATGTTATGAAGCTGAGTCAGAAATACCCTGTTATCTAAGATTGTTTTTTTGACATTTGTGTAGTGTCTAGCTTATGTTTTCTATCAGACAACCTGAGAAAATCGCTTAACTGCACAGCAACCGCATGGGTTTTGTCAATATTAGTAAGGAAAGTTCTTCATAACATGGCCTTGCCATAACATTTTACTGTTATGCGGCAGAATCGATCCCACAGAGCAAAGTCCAATAAAAATCTCATTTTTAGTTTATAACTACGTATGTCCACTGTAAGACTCAAGCTGTTATCACTATGCCACGGCGAAGCCCTAAAAAATACCAAAAAAAGTGCTGTGATAACATTTTTTATAATTTTTATTTTGATTGTAATTATAAAGTGAGACATAACAGGGTTATTCTGTATTTCCTATATATATATATTTTTTGAGCTTTTTAAATTTATCACTTTTACAATAACAGTAATACAGCAAACTTTAAAAGCAATATTTGTTTACTCATTTATAGATAAAAATACAACGAGTGTTGGTTTTTATAATTGAAATAGCCCTTATTTATAGGGTATATATATATATATATATATATATATATATATATCAAATTTTATTTATGTCTATTTATTTAGTACAAACAAATTTTCGAAACGGCTGGACCGATTTTGATGATTTTTTTGGGAGATACCTAATGCAATTAAGAGGCTACATAACTAAGCTTATGCTAAAATAGCATTTATTGAGACAAAAAATCGTCTGATTAGAATGATTTACAATAAAACTTTTTTTTTAAATATTGAAAATAATTAGGATTTCAAATTCTAAAGATCACTCTAGCTAAATTTCTAAAGATCACTTATATGTAATTAATAATTTTAAAAATCACTAATTTATGTAATTTCTGTAATTATTAATTTAATTAGCAAAAACAATAAATGGTTTTCTCTTAAATATCGAAAATTTTGTATATTTTCATAATTCTAGTTAAAATTCTAAAGCTCACAAATATACTTAAAATTATTAATTTGAACTTTGCAATTCAGTTTTCATAATTATTAAAAATATGAGATAAGTTCCTTCAGTTCTAACTCTGCTTTTTTAAGTTTTGTTTATTTACATTTCATGTAAACGTCGTCGTCCAATTCATAAGCTCTTATATTGTGTCTATAGAATACAAATAATGAAAGTTACAGTATTTATAATAATCTATTTGAAAACATTTAAAATTTCATTACGATACACGAAGTTTCAGCAATTTGCCTTAAGGCACGATGCCATACGCTACTAGTTCATACTATAATTTATTAATTCATTCATTTATTAATTATTGCAAATTTTTTTCCCACAGGTTCTCAAACCACGACGGTTTCACCGATAGGTCCTGATGAATTGCCTCCGTCGTACCAGGGAAGTTCGGCCAGTGGCGTGCCAATGGTCACTTGCAGGGTGTGTCAGGCCATGGTCGATATTTCAGGCAAACGAGAACAGCATGTCGTCAAATGCAATCAGTGCAATGAAGCCACAGTAAGCAAAAGATTTAACTAAAATTTAATGTTTCATTTTTTTATCAATTCCGAGATTACGACAGTGTCATCTTTGTATTGAGATAATATATATTATGACATGTTTGGAGATAATATATATTATGACTGTTTTTTTTTTTGAGAATTAGAGTTATGTACAATTTTTTGATTAAATTTTTTGACTTTATCAGTATGTGCGATTTAAAAAAGATCTTTTGTTCTTTGTCGATCAATCACATTGCGTTAGAAAGATTGGATAAATTTTGTTCCTTTTATATTTTTTTTGTATGACCAGTGTCATTTTCTTCATTAACTTCAGTTGCAATGATAATTTTAGTAACAAATTATTTGTGTCATTTTAATCTGATACGAAAAAGCAATACTTAACAAATTAAAAAAAAACTAGTGGCATTTAGCCTTAGGGCAAGAATTAACTTAATCAATCGAAGTTGAAATTTAGATTCTTAAAAAAGTAAAAATTTCAACTGTTTATTTCAAAAATAAAGTTATCGCTTTCAATTAATTTAACTGTAAAATTAATTTAAAATTAACTGTAATTATATTAATTATATTGCACTGACACGTGCCTGTATGCCCTAAAATTGTAGCTTATTATTTTAAATTTTAATGAATAGATAATGTTTGACTCGTTACATCACAAAAGCCACTTTTGACACAAATTTTGACTATAATTTCTTCTCAAATTTTGATTGTTTTTTAACTTCAATCTATTTGTCGTAGGGCCGTAACATTTTAGTATAAGACCATCATATCTATTGCCAAAAAGGTTCATAAAAATCGGCCTAATTTTATTTCAACAGTTAATTTCAAGAAAACGGCTCGGTAGATTTTCGGTAGCATCATTCCCAACTAATATCTTTCGAACAGTTTTTGATTTTTTCAAATCGATTCGATAGTATGAGCTTAAATGTGGACGAAAAGTTTAACACTTTTTTCAAATTACAAAGAAACGGCTCGGCAGATTGTCTCAAAAAACTGACAAACGATAGTCCTCATTGAGATACATCAAATGACTTTTAAATTCCTGGAATCGGTTCAGACGTTTTTAAGAAAACGTCGATTAAAGGTCTAATTTTGGCAAATGCACAAAAACGACACTAATTTTTGCAAACTTTGACGAATTTTTAAAGTTAAACGACTTGTCGTAAGGCTGTAATATTTTAGTATGAGTATATAAGACTATGGTATCTACCGTCATAAAAATCATAAAAATTGTCGAAAAAAATTATTTCAACACTTTATTACAAGAAAACGGCCCGGCCGATCTTTCTCAAAAACTAATCAGTATCTTTCCCAATCAATTCTTTCGAACAGTTTTTAAATTTCCAAAATCGATTCAGAATTGCGGGAAAAACGTGGACGAAATTTTTTTCACTCTTCTGCTATTTACAAAGAAACGGCTCAGCCGATCGACGCACAAAACTAACAAACTATAGTCCTCATCGAGATACACCTAATGGCTTTTAAATTTTTGAAATCGGCCCATTTTTTAAAAAAACGTCGATTAACACATACACGCACATACTTTTTCCAAATTTGGTCTCATTCGATTCAGAATGGCTTGAAACATCGAGAAATCATAAAATTAGCGAATTGGATTTTCTTATGTATACATAAATTTCTCCTTCGGGAAGTTAATTTTAAGAAAATTAATTAATTTATTTATTTCAATAATAAAACAAATATAAAAAAAATATTTTTCATATTGCATTTTCTTTAGAGATCAAAATTAAAATTGTTTCTTACAGATATAACATTTCTTTTACATTTGGTTTTTTATTTTCATTTTTTTCCATTGCCGAACTATATGTTTTTTTATAAATTAAAGATTTTGTAAAAAATTGTTATTTGCTCACCTGGAATAAATTTGCGCTATCAGTTTTCATATAAACACTAATTAAAAACAAAGTTTAAAAACAATGATGCTCTTTGTTTTGGTATTTCAAGCAAACTAGCTTATACACACATAAAATTTAGTTTTGATCATAAAACATTGAGTTCCCTTCATATATTCATATTTCTATCATATACATAGACTACTAAAAATTTGTAACTGTAATATACATTTTGCAGATATAAGCAAATTATAGTTCAGAGTTTATAATTTCGTGTAAATAGGGGTGGGTGTATTTAATGAATTGTAGAAGAGACAAAAATCGTAAAAACTTGACCTAAATTTGATTTTAAGTCACAGTTGTAAATAACTTAACTCGACTTTTTTTTAACTTTTATTTCCTATTTTTCAGCCTATACGCAATGCTCCACCAGGCAAGAAGTACGTTCGATGTCCATGCAACTGTTTATTGATTTGCAAAAGTTCATCTCAAAGGATAGCTTGTCCGAGACCAAATTGCAAACGCATAATAAATTTAGCACCTAGTCCTGTGACACCACCAGCTCCTCACGGTGGAAATTCTTCGTTGCCAGGAATGTGCAGGGTTTGCTGTGCTCATTGTGGGGACACGTTTCTTGTAAGTTGATAAGCATGAATTATAATTATTTGTTGAATAAAAAAAATAAGCTTGTAACGTGTTAGTAGAAGTTTATTTTTTAGAAATCTTGCATGTTGTTTGAAACTACAATTATAGCTTTATCGTATTAATATTGTTATAAATTTTTATTTGGTGTATTACATGATATGATTATCAATTCTTCGAAATATGCATATGACATGAATGCCTGGTTTTTTATTGCATATAAAATAGTATTATTAATTTATACCTTCTATATTGAATATATTTGTCATAGATCATGTCATGCTCATAATCATTTGACTCTAATAATGAATATATCATTATTACATTAAAAACTAGTTTTAAGTAGCATTCTTCCTTAAGTCAAGTTGCATGAATTTTTCAGTACGTATAAATAATCAACTTAGTCAACTGTAATCAGTAGCTACCTATAAAACACGACCATAGGCTCGGGATAGATTCTGATTAGGATCATTTAAGAGGGAGTCTGCTTTAGAGGCTTCTAAATAATCGCTTTATTCGAGGAATTTTTAGGGAAGGAAATAAATTTTTAATTGAATCGAAACTTTCAGGTTTTATTGTTATATATTTCAACATTCGTTGAAAGTTTCAAGTTTTCGTTCCGCTCTTATACCTGCTTGATGCTTACTCACTATTTCTTCTATAATTTCGAAAATAATTCGAAGTTGTTTCCGGAATTTTAGGGATATATTCTTGGCTAGTTTTGGAAGACATTTTTGCATAAAAATCGATTTTTTAAACCTTTAAAGCATGCTCCCGCCCCTTGATCAACTGTAATCAGTAGCTATCTACAAAACACGTACATAGGCTCGGCAAAGATTCTGATTAGAATCTCTCAAGCGTGCGGCGAAATTCCAAACTTTTATGATTTTTTTTATAATTCAACCGCTTATCATTGACTTATAATATTTTAATATGTAACGAAATCCATCGTTATGCTATTTTTAATCAAAATCGCCATACAAAAATTGTTTGAACATTTATTTACGAAAAAACGGCGCGGACTATCTTCATCAAAAACTAATCGACGCATTTCTCAACCTATATCTTTCCAACAGTTTTTGAATTTTTAAAATCGATTCAAAATTGTGGCCTAAATCGTTGGGAAAATTTTTACTTTTTAGCAAATTACATAGAAACGTCTAGGCCGATCGTCGCATAAATTTGTCTAACTCTAGTCCTTATCGAGTTACATCGAATGACTTCTAAATTTTTGTAATCAGTCCAGACTGTTTGTGCGAAAACGTTGACGAAAGTCAAAAATCAGCTTACATACACACACAGAGAAATAAGCGAAGGTTATTTCGACATACCTAGACAAAAGACCTAGTCTAGGATGCCTAAACGCATTTCTTTCGCTATATAAAAAAGAGTGCGCGATTGAAGTAAAACTTTTTTTTGCTATTGTACGATATTAAAATATTTATAATATTGGAAAACAATAATGCAATTAAAGTCATACTTCGAAAATGACATGATCGGTGTGTCATTGTAATTAGCATTTAAAATACCTTCATTAGAGAAATGAAATTAATTTCTGATTAATAAATTTTATAATATTCGTTCACACAGTGGATTATGTTAAACAACGCATAAACAAATATTGTTTTCACAAATTAACTCATCCTGTAATAATTGTGTTTGAAGAATTTCATGTAATTAAAATTAACATACATTCATTGACTGCTTGTATTTTTTTTACTTTTTCGCTGGCTATACAATCTCATTCTTTGAGCAGCTGTAATATCTGTCTTGCCTAAAAAATTAATTTCCATTTTAATAACTTCAAAGATTTATAGAAACTACGAATAAGATAGAAATTATTTCAATAAACTTACGTTTTGTACACGGCACAAATGTTCCATTTGTCTTAGTATTTCCATTATAATTATTTACGGGGCAACAGGTTAAAATATTCTTCTGCTTCAGGCTTTTTTTTAATAAATTAAGATTTGCACTACGATATAACCTTAAAATCTAATGACATGCCGATCTCCTCGTTGAGAGCGAACGACGAACAGTTCGGGCGTAACGCAACTTCCGTTGCATATTCACAGATTTACTCCCTAGTCGCGCCTAAAGAAGTTTTACTTCAAAAAAACAAAAACCCACATTTTTTCTAAATTTGGTCTCAAACGATTCAGAATGACTTGAAACGACGAAAAAATATAAAATTAGCCAATCGGATTTTTTATGAAAACAAATTTCTCTTCGGGCAATTATCATTATATATTTTTTGTTCTACATCTGTTTTTTGGTCCTGGTTAACGATTTTTTTTTATAAGAAAGTGAAATGAGAACATACAAGTATATCCAAATATTTTTGACATTTTAACGTTCAGCTTTATGTAAGTAGTAAATCATTTGCATCATACTTAGTCACATATCATTGCAAAGTAGTGTTTCTCAACTATAATTTTGTTGAAGCATGTGAAATAATTATATGTTACTGTACAGAAATAATTTCCTAGAAATTATTATACAGGGTGTCCCAGAACTCAACGTCAAGCCGAAACGGTGTGATAATAATGATAAAATTAGCTGTAAGTGGGATTTCGGTAAATAATCGACTTTGAAACGTATATACATTTATAATATGAGCGATGTTAAATGTAGAACTGCTATGTGTCTCAATTCTCACACTATATTGGAAATTGAAGTCTTTTAAACGGTATAACATAACGATGACCATAACATAAATTAAATTTTTTATTATTTAAGATATCCAAAATTTCATCTTAAACTTCTTCTAATCGATATCGTGAGGACCGAATTGTATGTATTCATCTCTACTTTCCCATTTGTTGTTTTAAAATAAAATTTTTATGCTATTTTTCGCATGCATCGCAATAAATACTGCCCTCATTAATACTTAATTTCATATTTTAAGTGAATTAATTTGTCATATCCTGTTCATATGTGTATCATTCAATCTGCCATACACATACTGTATTTTATATTATTTTAATTTCTGGCACATCTCAGCTGCATTTTGGCAATAATAATGTAGACATTTCATTTTTCTTATTCATAATCATAAATTTATTATACATATTCTAATATTATCTAGGTTCATAAGCAAATTGAAATTTTTGGTAGATGATAGTTTTCATTTATTTTCAATGCAAACAATGACATGTCGTTTTTACAAATTTTTCATTTATTTCTACAATATTGCACATACATCACAGTACTTCATAATCACATATATACTAGAACATTTCTTTAACAAACTTCTGAAATATTTATCAAAATCCGCATAATCGTTTAGGAGGAGTATACAGTGAGTGCTTGTAATTTAATATGAACTTTATATAATAGCAATACAGCTCAAATTGATTCTATGTTTTAGTTAGAAAACGTTTGTGTGAGAAAAAGAAAAGGGCTGTTTTTAGGGTTTTGCCGGCAATTATCGATTTTTTCTCGTCCTTGAACCACCCTTGGACTTCAACGAACATTTTAAAAAAATAATTGGCCAAATTGGTCCAGGCGTTGTTGAGTCATGCGCTTACTAACACATTTGCGATTCATTTATATATAAGAAGATATTCTCACCCCGTTTAGGCTTGACGTTGAGTTCTGGGACACCCCGCATGTATTGCTTGAGAACCACTCCTTCACAACTTTGACAAATTTGAATATATTGTATATCATCATCAATCCTCTATCCATCAATTCTCTGATCTTTTTTCCAGTTCAACACCCTAAACAATGCCCTCGCCCGGTGCCCACACTGTCGCAAAGTGTCTTCGGTCGGGCCGGATTTCTCTCGGGGAAGAACCATCCTATTTCTAATCATAGGCACAGTTTTCTTCGCGATCGGCCTGGCCATCACCCTGGGAACCTATGCAATGGCCAGGAGCAATGGGGGCATCTACGTGGCCTATGTGGGAGCATTTCTGGTAGCTTTACTCATGTTTGCGAGGAGCGCTTACTATTGGAGGATGAGAGTCAGCGTGATTGAGGGTCCGATGTAATTTTAAGATGATAATATTGTAATTTTAATATTGATATGATGGCGAAGTTTGATGCAAGTTTAATGGAATGACGGTTTTTTCGAGTCATTTTATTAAGTATCCGAGATGATGATGATGATATATGGTTATTTTGTTTACTTTTTTTTATACAAGTATTAGTTTATGATATTGAATGTAAAAGATTGAGATGATATAATAAAAGCTTTATTAATATAAGTCAATATGGCGTTTTTTGTTATTACGAGTGTTTTGACATACGGGTAGCCAAAATGGCGAATTGTTGCTTTGACATACGAGCAAAATTTGAGATACAAGCTTTTAGTGAATGATTGTTTACTCGATAAACATTAACGGCCAAATTAAACTATATAATTTTTTTTCAGTTGTAACAATAATTTTTCTACCACTGAAACATTTATAATAGTGAATTATTTTATAGTTGAGCCCGTGCACACGACGCCAGTATTTCTTTATACAGGATTTCTGTCAAGATTTCGAGCAAGGATTTTTTTTGCTAAGTTATATCTAAACTAGTGGTGTATGGCATCGTGCCTTAAGGCAAATTGCTGGAACTTCCCGTACCGTAATGAAATATTCGTGAAATTTTATACGTTTTCAAATATATTATTACAAATACTGTACCTTTCATTATTTTTGATATCTTGTTATATCTGAAAAAATTAAATGTAAATAATAAATCAATTTATATCCAGAAATTTAACTGTCGTCATTTCATTTCGAATTCAATTTCAAAAAAATTGTTACCTATTAATTTACACAAAACGCATTTGCAAATAATTCTGTGCGACATTTTCACTTATACTGTGCTTAGCTTGACGGCATTTTCACATTTTTCAATAGTTTTCATAAAATTGGAAAAGTGCTCCAGTACATAAACAATCTAAACACACTTGGGTAAACATTTCTACCAGAGTGGCGCTTAGACTGTGCTTAGCCTGGGTATTTTTTTTTTTTGAATTTTTTATCCAAAATTACAAAAATATTTTATGGAAAATAAAAAAAGATGTTATTAGTTTTTATCCTCAAAAGCAATTGTTTTGTCAATACAAGCAAAAAGTTGTTTAGATCATTCAAATCCGATACTCCGTTCTCTCAAAAACTCGATTTGTATTTGCTGCACTGTTTGCCTCGTATCTCCGTAACGGCTGAACGTGCCTTTGTCAAAAACCATTCAGCACATCTGTCTATCAATAGGAATCGAATGTTTTTTATACCATTCAAATCGGTTGATCAGTGCGCCCGAAAACGTGGACGAAAAATATGTTGGCTAAGATCGGAAATTATGATTTATCATATCGTTGCTAGGTAACAAACTGTCTGGCATGAATCTGGCGTCGTGTGCACCAGGCTTAAATTATAAAAAAAAACTAGATCATAAATTTATTTATTGCGAACGTGTTAAATTTACATACATCTATAGTAATCAATAATTTTTAAATAATTGTAAAATTCATCTTAGTCCAAGGGGTAATCATCAAGCCAATAAAAGTTTCCAGGAATCATTTTGCTTCGCACGTGCAACTCCTGAATCAGTAGAAAGAATATGGGAGGCGGTAGTGTCTGCTGCAGGATCTGATAAATAGAAATAGAAATTTTAGCTTTAAAATATGATGAGCAGAATCGTCAAAATGGGTAGTAGATACAACATCGACAAATCGAAAGTGATCAGAGTATCTATACAAAATGAGTCCCTAAGGATAACGATAGAAAGTCAACAATTACAGGTGCTCCTGCCAAGACATCGAATTAAAAAGATGGGTTTCGTTTACAAAATTGACAAATGTTGTTACTACATTTCTTACTTCCTAGTTTCGTCTGAATTTGAATTCTATTTATTTTTTTCACCTGTAACAATTTTCGAGGGTATCCAGAATATAGGATGGCGTTGGCAACGTGCGTTATTCCTCGGGCGACATCTCCTCGTCCCAAACCTTCTTCGCCGAGGTTGACTTCATTTTGGAGATATCTGTCGGAGGAAACAAAACTACCACTCTAAATTCATCATATTTGCTTATCAAATAATATTTAAGGGTCCTTGAAGAAATAATAAAAGAAAAATAGTGATAGCCAAACACATTTATCGATTGCATTACTACACTATCGGCATATAGAGTAAAAGCTGTTCTTGTGAGTTTTTTTTTGCAATTTGTTTTTATGCGGTATATGAATCTTAGCGGCTTTAACACCAACTTGATGTTTCCTAGGACGTAATAGACAAGGAAAATATTTTTTTCAAAATTGATTATTATTTTGAAGATTGCTCGGCATTTACAGCATAATAGTCCTGCTATTTAAGCTTAAATTAGGTAAGAATCTTGGAATTCGAGATACCCAGCTGTGAGTCAGTAAATACGTGTATTTTGCACCCTAAAGGTTGTCTCAAAACCTACATATGGTAGGGTGTACGCAACATTTATTTATAATAATATACGCAATATAATTTATAATTCCATTCGATAGCAAGATGACCAGTGAAGATAATAATTTCAAAAGAAAAATAAAAAAATATTTTTCTGAAATATTAAATGGCCTACGATCTTAAAGGAAATGTCAAAAAATAAAAAAAAAGCTGTCTCTTAGGAGATAATCTCTTTAAAAGCATTAACACCAACATCATATTGTCTTAAATTATTTTGATCGGCAATAAGTCTATGGTAAATAAAAAAATAAATATTATGTTAATTTAACGCCAAAAAGAAGAAAAAAATATTATTTATATATTTAATAAAATCGCTATTCTTCACTATAATCCAGTAATTCGAACATTCCAGTAATCCGACACTCAATGGTTTTTATTAATGAGATTCTACTGTACTTAACAGCACTCTAAATTGTCAATGTGCAATTTTATTAATATTATCAGATTTTTTTTTTAAATTGCGAAGAAACTGCTCGACCGTTCTTAACGGAAAATTAATCACCACTATTCCCAACTAAATTCTTTAGAACAGTTTTTGAATTTTTATAATCGGTTCAAGATTTTTGGCTAAAACGTGGGCATAAAATTTTGTAACTCATTCTGGTAATTATAAAGAAACGGCTTGGCTGATCGCCGAACAAGGTATGGATTGTACATTTTTAAAATCGGTCCAGCCGTTTTTAAGAAAACGTCGATGAAAGGTCAAAAATCGAATCACATACACATACACACATATACTTTTTTCAAATTTGTGGGGCAATTCTGCCGTAACAGAGGTCATAAAATAGCGTTGTCATGGCAACGCTCTCTTATGCTTGTTCTTGGTATTGAAAATTATGAAAATGTCTATCTATTTGCCGTGCCGTGGGAGTTTATTATAAATTTTACTTGCGCTTAATTTCCAAAAATTTCTAAAAATTGCCCAGCCGTTCGGTCGCGAGGGTATCCGATTAGTGTGATTCTGCTATATTCACAAACTTAAATTACTTATTTATTATTTCGGGAAGTTTATATAGCTTGCCTTTAGGAAAAATGATACATTCACAAAATTTAATTTTTTGTGACCCTTAAATATTATTTAAATAAGATTTTTGACTTAAAAGTTTCACTCACTCTCTGCAAGCATCTAAGTCCTCGCGATTTGGATATGGTGAATCCGAGTCCTCATCTTTCTTTGTCCTTTCTAAATAAAAAATAATAAAATAGAAAAAATAATAATATGAAATATATAATTTTTTTTTAATTAAGCGGCCAATTCTCGGATACAATAGAAATGTTATGGTAACGCTATGTTACGAATTGGTAGTAACAAACTGTCAAAAAGCTAAGAATTTGCTGTGCAATCAGGCGTTTCACACATTAAACCTAACTTCACGTATGTGTTTTCAAAGAGACATCAGAAAGTTGCACTTATGATAAAATTTGTTTTTGACAGTCTTTTACTACTCATACGACGATAGACCCGTAACATATCATCACCATAACATTTCTATTTTATCCTTCAAATTATTATTACTTCTACTTACTTTCTCGTAATCTCCTCTTATAATTTGGATCTTTCGTCCTCTGATGGTCAAAATAGAGACAATATCCCAAAATGACTGAACCCACCATCATGCCCGCAAGCATGCCCATGGTCAGCCTGGTTAAAATACCCATCATCCTGTATGTTCCATGAAAGAAGGCTAAGATTATATAAAAAAAACGCGTTTAAATATTGTTTTTGAATGACATTTGAGACTACGGAAATTTTGGTGTTTTGGCGATTGGACGGCGATGCTGCACTTTTGTTTAGGGAGGAAATTTGATTGAATTTTCATGGCTGGCTGATTTAGTCGTTTATTAACTAAATAATTGTGGTTGACGAATATACTCGTCATGGGGGAGTGGTAGGATACTGTGTAATGCTGAGCATATAAAACATTTGTAATAAGTTTGCAGACGTGAATGCTATAGCATTCATGTGCATTTTGATGCAGAATGACATGAATGCTATAGCATTTAAATTTTAAAGTCGATTATATATAAAAATATTTTAATTATAATAGATATCATATTAATGAAATAGTCAAATGAAATGTATATATAAAATATGAAAACTGTTTTTCATAATCTCTCATACCAGGCACCTCTGTCTGATTGAGACATGAAAATAATGTATATATATAAATAAAATAAATTATTTTTGAATGACTAATTGTTTCTTTAGGTATTTTTGTATTATCTTATTTTTCCCGTAGTCACTAATAAGCTAGAGCATCCAAATTGCGTAAAATAGAAGCGCAATAATTGACGTGGATGCTATAGCATTCATATAGTATATAACGATTAAAATATGATAATAGTATTTTCATGTTATCTTATCTTTTCCCATAGTTACTAATTACCTTAGGCAAGTACTTTGCGTAAAATAGAAGCGTAATACTTATCGTGTATGCTATAGCATTCATCTAGAATATAACGATTAAGATATGATAATAGTATTTTCGTATTATCTTATCCATTCCCGTAGTCACTAATTACCTTGGGCAAGCACATGGCGTAAAATACAAGCGCAATACTTGACGTGGATGCTATAGCATTCAAATTTTACAGTCGATTATTTTGAGTTAGGTACTAACTAACTGATTCTTGAAGTATTTTCGTCTTATATTATTTTTTCCCTTAGCTTGGGAAAGCAAATAGCGTGAAATAGAAGCGCCATACTTGACGTGGATGCTATAGCATTCAAATTTTACAGTCGATTATTTTGAATGAGGTACTTGCTAACTGATTCTTCAGGTATTTTCGTCTTATCTTATTTTTCCCCTTAGCTTGGGAAAGCAAATAGCGTAAAATAGAAGCGCAATACTTGACGTGGATGCTATAGCATTCAAGTTTTACAGTCGATTATTTTGAATTAGGTACTGGCTAACTAATTCTTTAGGTATTTTCGTATTATCTTATTTTTTCTCTTAGTTTGAGAAAGCAAAAAGCGTAAAATAGAAGCGCAATACTTGACGTGGATGCTATAGCATTCAAATTTTGCTGTCGATTATTTTGATATAGGTACTGACTAACTGATTCTTCAGGTATTTTTGTATTAACTCATTTTTTCGCGTAGTTACTAATTAGTTAGAGCATTCTATATGCGCTTCAATACTTGACGTGGATGCTATAGCATTCGTCGTGTACAACAATTAAAATACGATAATCTGATTACCTTTATAAACGGTTTTTATGCACATTTTGGATAACACAAACAATTGAAAAATAAAATGACTCAAATTTTGTGAAATTTTGAAAAAAATATTAAATATATTCTGAAAAGTCAATTTCAATCTTATAAAAATTACTTAAAATTATGAATTCGAATTTTAATTCTGAAGTATTCCTGTAAAAACTAATAATGCAAAACACATTTACGAACAGAATTTAACATTTTTATTATAAATTGTTCTAACACGTTGACTGCCAACTTCGAGTTAAGAAATGTTAATTTACGAGTTATCTCACAGAAATACAATTATATTTTGTTGATTTTGATTTATTTTTCAATTTGGATGAAAACAATGCACTAGAAATTGAATTTTTATTAATAAAATGTGTGGAAATCAAATTCTATTAAGAAACAAAATTTTACTTACAATTTCGAAAAACAAAAAATTATTTTATAAATCAATATTTTTGTTATAATTTTCATTTTAAAAATATTTATATATTTTTCTATTAATTTAAGTCTAACATACTTGTTACAGATTGTATTATTATTTTGGCAAATAAAAAATGGATAAAAAATCTGAAACTGGATCGGATTTGTCATCGGATTGTCAACATGAAGATTCTTCATTGATTACATCTGATGAAGATGAAGATGATTTGGGAGCTTCAAATATTGGTCATCAAGATACTCCAGAAATTGGAAAACATTTTGAAGTTGACGTCAATCTCAGGTAATAAAATAATAGATTTAGGGGCAAATTATCAGTTAAAGTAGAAATAAAATAGCCAAATATGTGAGTTAAGTTTAAAAAAGGCAATTTTACAAGATATAAAGTTATTCCAACTTTGATGATTAATTCTTCTGAAAAAGTATAAGATTGATTGATTTTAGTAAAAACTGTGCCCATAAAATATTTGTATTGCAAATTTTAAACAAAAGTTGTATTTAGTTCATTTGCAATAATTTTAGTTCAAAAAACAATAAGCCTGATCATACTAAATTAAACAAAAATATCTAAAATATAATATTCAGGATAGTAGTAAGAATTGAAGAAAATTTTTGGTTATTAGGTTTTCAAATATATATTTAGATTACATGTAGTTGCTGCGAGATCAGACGATTTACACATAAAACCTAACCTCCAAAAGGCAAAACACAGTTAAACACACATTAACAAGGAACTCAATGACTTACAGTACTTACACGATACTCGACAAGATACTTTAAGGCTTTTTGCTTAATCTATTGAAGACAATTTTACCAAACATATTCCTTTATTTTTATTGATTTTTCCTAATTTTATTACAATTAATTATTTAAAATAAATATCAATTATCGCAGCAAAGTAGACTCTCAACTCTCGCTCTATCGAAGCACATACTTCCAACAAGTTTCCTATTTGTTCCCCATTTTATAATTGTTGGAACTTCTGTCAGCATCGTTCTTGGATCTTTTCGAAAGGGATTGTTTTTGCATTTCCATCTAAAATTTGAATTATATTATAATTTAATAAATAGTGTGATTTGAGAAAAAATTAACTTACGAATCTCTGAATCCGACTTCGACTTCTATTAATTGTGCTTCGGAAGGCATACATCTCATTGCACATTCGATTATGGGATCAGCTAGTAATAATGGAAATAAAATTATTCAATAAATAAACACTTCAATAAGCTAAGATATATATTTTCAATATGGGTGTGTATTGAATAATTCAAAAAATATTATCTTTATTTCGGAAATACCGAGCAAATAATGGTGATGCAGTTTTTGAGAGAATGCATCATCAGTTTGCTCATGAAGATATGATTAGGGCACCAAATTTTGTCTAAAACCAGTTCTCAAAATAAAAACTGTGGTCAAAGATTCTATTCTACTTTAAATTTACGTCTAATATTTTGATTTTTGACTATCATTTACTACCTTTATTGGTATCAGGACACCAGCTTTCGCCATTTTCCAATCTTGAGCCAACAAATAATACATATATTTTCTGACCACAAAAATCTCTTTTAAAGTAATTACAAAATTCTTTAAATCCTTTGATGGTACATTTGCTTGCCGCATTTTTTGACATTTTATAAATTAAAATAAATTTTTAATAGCAAATTTAGTTTTTTATATAAAAATTAAAGAGTTATTTGTTTTTTTTGATATTTTTTATTTGAATTATTTGATTTTTTTGGTATTTTTATTTATTTAAAATATTGTAAACAAAATGCAATCTTATGACATTTATGACAGTAAATAAATGAGTATAATTTAATTAATTGATATTATTAATAATTTCAATTATATGGATGGGAACAATTATAAGAAATTAAAGTGGGTTAATCGTTTTTAGTGTCGACATAGAAAAGCAAAAATTTTGAACGGGGTTTTTATCGAAAAAATCTATATCGAAAATTATTTGCCAATTTTCCTTGTTTCATTGTTGCATTTTACAAACCAAGTATTTTTAAAAAAACTTTTTAAGTACAATCAAGTCATATTAGATTTATTATATTAACAATAGTGTGAACAAAATACAATCTTAACTTTAAATATGTGTAGTATCGTTTGGAACCAACATCAGAGAATTTTTTGTGTATGTGAACCAAATTTGACTTTTTGTCAAGTTTTTCAAAAATGGCTGTACCGAAATAGAAAATTAGAATAGGATTTAAAATTTTTCGACGTCACTATTTTCATATAAAATTATGCAAATTATGCAAAAAATCTAAAAAAATGGGTTTATTTGGAAAAACTATTTCTGTGAATTTAGGCAAAAGCTGCAACTAGCAGAGGAAATGATTTCTTTTTATATTAGATACACAAAATCCTGATTTTTTTAGTATTTTGTTTTTAGTGAAGTACAAATTCTTGATTATAGTTTTGTATATATATAGGTATATATATATATATATGTATATACTTATTTATTTATTTATTTATTACTTTTATTTTTTTAGATCTTCAAAACCATCTCGTAAATCGTACGACTACCTCCGTCTTTTGACAGAGGTCTTCAAAAGGCCCATAATTCATGATTCAAATTTAGTAGAATTTTATTCCAATGAGAAAAAACGTCGGATGTGGTATCAGATCGCTGAAATTATGAGTGGAAATTCCTGGCTTGGAATGACTGACCAGGAGAAAAAAAGAATTTGTAAGTAAAATTATAAATATAATGATTTTTACTATATTTATTTATTTTGGTCAGTTATAACTAAAACAATTATGATAGGCAGTTAGATATTAGAAATTTGAATTGTTGCAAGTTGACTACATTTTAACTAATTTAAGTTAGTGAAATTTTATAATTTTGTTTTTATACAGGCGTTTTCATACTTATCATTTTTAATATTAATATTCGTCAAGTAAATTATTTTACAAACACATTTAGTATGACCGAAAAACACACATCTCTTACATTCACCCTTAAGATTTATTTTGTTATATATTTTCTAACTCGTAATTAAAGAACACACAGCCCTAAATTTTTACACACTTTTATTTCGTAATAGTCATTTCAGTAATACAAATTCATTTTAATTATTATAATTTGTTTTGGTCAATTTCAACTGAAACAGTGGATGTAGGCAGTTATATATTAGAAATTTAAAATGTTGCAAGTTGACTATATTTTAACTAATTTAAGTTAGTGAAGTTTTACGATTTTGTTTTTATATAGGCGTTTTCATACTTATAATGTTGAATTATTAATATTAGTCAAGTAAATTATTTTACAAACACATTCAGTATGACCGAAAAACAGACATCTCTTACATTCACCTTTAACATTTCTTTTGTTTTATTTTTTCTAATTCGTAATTAAAGAACACACAGCTCAGTAATACAAATTCATTTTAATTATTATAATTTGTTTTTGTCAATTAATACTGAAACAGTCGTTGTAGGCAGATAGATACTAGAAATTTGAATTGTTATTACATTTTAACTAATTTAAGTAAGTGAAATATTACATTATTATTTATATTATTAATATTCATCCAGTAAATGATTCACAAGCACCATTTTTTTATTAAAAAAAATTATAATGTGTAATTTGCCTCACCCTCTTGCCTCAAACACCTATTACGTAATAGTCTTTTTAGTAAACTTATTTTTAATTAAGAATATTGTTCATTTCTAACATTTTTTCTTGACATCAATTTTATTAAAAAAAATTATAATGTGTATTTTTAAAACACACACAACCCTAAATTTTTACCCTCTTGCCTCAAACACCTATTACGTAATAGTCATTTTAGTAATTGAATAATTTTTTATATAATTTAATTTTATTATTTTCAAATGTTTTAAAGTTTAAACTATTGTTTATAATAAATATTTTTTTCAGATAAAGAAACGAAATTAAAATGGGCGAAGGTTTTGAAGACTTTGAATAAAAACAAACATTGGCAAACTTTGAGAGAGAGGTAAATTTTGAAGAATAATTGTAATATATATATATATAATATATATATATATATATATATATATATATATATATATAAATTTTATTAAATCATAGCTTTTATTTTATAAAAAAATATTAATATATGACAAAATTTAGTAACATTAATTCAAAATTAGAAAAAAATTAAGTGAAGCATTATTAAAATACTTGAGGACATGTCACGATGTTTGATCCTAATGTACTCCTAAACTACTGAACCAATTTTAAAGTTTATTGGCTCACTTTGTGTATTTATATCCGACTTAGGTTATAAGCAATATTGAAAAGTTGCAAATATCCAAAAGTTGCTCCATATTGCAAATATCAAAAATTTAGAAATTTGAATTAATTTTGACAGTTATGAATTTTAAGAATAATCAATATATTAATTATTTGATAAATTAATAAATATCAAGTTGACATTCAGAAATTTGCAAAAGAAAATAAGTTCGACAAATTATAGTCGAAAAATCACATTAAGAGATTTCAATAGAAGCCACAGCAGAGCGTGGCCGGGCTTGCTAGTATATTTTTAAATAATTTATTTTTACTCATTTTTTTTCTAACAAATATTTTTTGATGTATTTCACAGGTCATTACTAGGCACTACACCAAATTCCACATCAACCTCCAATTTTTCTCAGCAACCACTGACCAATTATATTCAACACCATCACGCTGCCAAAAAAAGACGTTTTAGAACTCCACCATGCCCATCTGAAGAATGTACAAATCTTGGAAAATCGCCTGATGAAACATTCCTAAATACTCTTTTGCCCACTATGAAAAAAATGGACAAACAAAGTAATTTATCAGCCAGAGTTGACATGATGCGCATTTGTCATAAAATGTTAATCCAAACTGAGCTGAAAAAATTTCAAAAATCGGAAACATCAACCGTGGAAAACGATTTTATGACGAGATATAAAGGAATGGATAGTTTGAATGCTAATTTGAATCCGAAGGAAAAATTGGATCTGATGTTGGAATTGGATTCTTTGCAAAGGGTAGATGCTGCCAAGAGCAGCAAGGTTAATTTTGAAGAAAAATTAAATAGATTTAATTCACTAAATACCAAAATTTTTGAACAGTGCATTAATTCTAATGATTTTACCATACGTTCGGAAACACCAAATAGAAAACGCAAATTTGATTTGTTGTATAAACCAGATCATAAGCGAATAGTACAAAGTTCAGATTTGAAATTGGTGCAGAGTTTAAAGAATATTGATGAAAAAAATGATGTTCAAATATTTGACAAATCAGCACTACAAACAGACGAAGTTAATTTAAATAATCAAGACCAAGTGTTTTTTAAACCTGAAGAGCTGGATACTGCAATTTTCAAGTCATTCAAGTTTCATCCAATGAAAAATTCTATGAACAATAAAAAACAGTATTTGCAACCAAAATTTTACAGCATTGAAAAGCTAGAAGAGAAAGCAAATTCAGAAACAAATTCAGCTTCAGCACAAAATACAAGTTTTTCGGACCAAATTTCAGAAAATTCTGATCAGCCTGCTAAAGTTATTCAAAATACAAAAAATTGCGCTGAAGATTCAGGAAAGATTTTGGACGATAATATTTAGACGGTTTATTTAATACTTGTTTTTTGGGATTAAAGTGTTTTGATATTGAAAAAAGTGTTTGTTAAATTTTACTGTACTTTTTTTAAAAATAAATAGTGTAAAAAGTGTGTTCTGGTAAATAGACCAGAAAAAACAACAAACATTTTACACCATTGAAAAGCTAGAATAGTCTTTAAATAATGATCAGAAAGCAAATTTGGAACCAAATTCAGCTTCAGCACAAGATACAAGTTTTTTGGACAAAATTTCAGAAAATTTTGATCAGGCTACAAAAGTCATTCAAGATGTAAAAAATTGTGTTGAAGATTCAGGAAAGATTTTGGGCGCCAATATTTAGACGGTATTTTTAACACTTGTTTTTCGGGATTAAAGTGTTTTGATATTGTAAAAGACGTGTGTAAAATTTTCTTGTACTTTTTTTTAAATAAATAGTGTTCAGTTTTTTTTAAAGTGTTAAAGGTGCGTTCTGGTAAATGGACGTTTTGCAGATGGACTTCAATTTATGGTGAGTCGATTATTTTATTTATAAAGATTTTTTTTTAAATTTTACGAACGATTATGAATATTATTTTATTGTCTATAATTTTATATAGGCCAAAATATTTTAGAAAAGTGAAAATTGAGGATTAAGAAAAAAATGAACAAAATTCACCCAATACATTACAAAATAAGTGTTGAAGTTGGACAATCCTTGATAAAATTATTTTTTCATGTAAAATTGAGCTTTTTCATAAGCTCGAAAAATCTCGATCGAAATTCAGTCAAAAACGTTTACTGGCTGAAATCTAGATGAAAATTCATGTAATTACAGTAATAATTCTTAAGAAATAAAGGTTTAAAAAAAAATAACCAATACATTAAAAAATATGCATTAGAGTTGAGACAACCCTTGATAAAATTATTTTTTTATGTAAAATTGAGCTTTTTCATAAGCTCAAAAAATCTCGATCCAAATTCAGTCGAAAACGTTTACTGGCTGAAATTTAAATGAAAATTGATGCAACTACTGTAATAATTCTTGCGAAATAAAGGTTTGTGTTAAAATAGTGAAAATTTAGGGTTATATGTGTTTTTCATACATACATTATAAAAAAATAAAAAAATAAGAATTGACCCAAAAAATAAAAGAAAATTTTTCGGGGCGTCCAAACTTTAACACTTGGTTTCAAATCACATGTTAGGTATATTAACATATACCTAAAGGTTTTCCAAATTTTCACCAAATTTATGGATGCTTAAAAATAACACACACACAAGCATACATCCATTTTTATATATAAAGACATAAACATTAAGCTTCATTTATTATTACAATATCAACTTAAAATACAAACGTTTTATTCAACACCAAGTATAATCCTCTTTGCATTTTTCATTAAACCATCTGATGACCAGCTGATTTTTGGGCGAAAACTTCTTCAGATATTCTTCTGATAACTCCATTCCAGTCTAAAAACAAACCAACAATTTGCAGTATTTTGTAATTTTAAGTTAATTTTTACCATCTTACCATTTTTTTGGTGCAATTCTTTTACAATCTCCTTGATTTATATGTTCTTCATATGCCATGTTCAAATCTTCGATGTCATCAAGAGTTAGATATTGGTAACATAAAGAACAAATTTTTTGGTCACATGAATTTAAGCATTCTTTGCTTGAACAAGTCTCTGGGTTGACAAAAATATTTTTGTTGAGAGTGGAATTAGGACTGAAATAGATAAAAATATTTTTTTAATACACCCAAAAGTTTAAGATAAATTTTCAATGGTCTATTTTAACAAAAGTTTGCGTGCAGTATGCTTTTTTTTGAAAAATGTGTGTATAAAATCTTGAAGTTGTTTTTATAAATCACTAACCTGTTCATATTAAACTTGTATCTTTCAATTCCAACCAACTTAAAAACACTGAGGACAACTTGTTCGTAAAGGGCTCTATTAAATTCCATGGTTATTGGTGAAAGATTCGGGCTCATATTCACTTCCAGGAGAAAAACCTTTAAAGTTTCATCAACGACAAAATCGAAACGCACCAACTCGAAAAAATTTCGAGTTACTTCGAAGTTTTTTACCTGAAAACATAATTGATAGAGCAATTCTGTGTAACTGTCTATCTATTTGCTGTGCGATCAGGCCTATTTTACATATAAACAAGCAAGAAAGAATCTTATGATAACTGCATCATCGAAGATTCTGTTATCATTATATTTTTCCTTGCTTTGTTTATATGTAAAATACGCCTGATCGCACAGCAACTGGATTTTTAACTTCCCGTAAGGTAGTTATAGTAATGGGCCGAAAACAGAAAATGAAAATTTTCGCATTTCTCGACGTTTGGAAGGTTTCTGAACATTTTGGCATACCTCACAAAAAATGGATGTGTGTGTGTGTGTTTTGTATGTCAACATTTTTTCGTCTACGTTTTCGGGCGCACGGATCAACTGATTTGAATGGTTTAAAAAATATTCGATTCCTATTGATAGGGAGATGTGCTGAGTAGTTTTTGGCAATGGCAGGTCCAGCCGTTACGGAGATACGGAGCAAAAAGTGCAGAAAATACAAATCGAGTTTTTGAGAGAACGGAGTATTCGATTTGTATTGATTGGGAGAAGGGGAGATTAGATTTTGGCAAGACAGGTCCCGTCATTTCGAAGGTACAGAGCTAAATGTGCAAAAAATGGCAGTTTTTGAATGAACTAAGCGTCCGATTTGAATGATCCAAAAAACTTTCTGCTTGTATTGACAAAACAATTGCTTTTGAGGATAAAAAAATATTACATCTTTTTTTATTTTCCATAAATTATTTTTGTAATTTTGTAATGTTTACCCAAGTGCGTTTAAACTGTTTATGTAATGGAGCACTTTTCCAATTTTGTGAAAACAATTGAAAAATGTGAAAATGCCGCCAAGCTAAGCGCAGTATAAGTGAAAATGTCGCACAGAATTATTTGTAAATGCGTTTATACTGTGACTATACGGGAGCACCTTTTCAATTTTGTGTAAATTTTTTTGAACTTGAATTCGAAATGAAATGACGATTGTTGTTAATGTTCTGGAGATAAATTGATTTATGATTTACATTTGATTCGCTCAGATATAACAAGATGGCAAAAATAATGAAAGTTACAGTGTTTGTAATAATATATTTGAAAACGTTTAAAATGTCTCGAATATTTCAATACGGTACGGGAAGTTCCAGCAATTTGCCTTAAGGCACGATGCCATGACAACGCTATTTTATGAGGCAGAATAGTCTCCTGAATTAAAAAAAATACTATTATTCTTACCACCATTTTTATTTCTTCTTCCTTCAAAACCAAAATATTACTAATAATACTTTCCACTTCTTCCCAAATCGTTTTTGGACAAAGTCCTTTACTTTTTACATAGGCATTAAAGGAATCTCGCATGTTGTAACCAAAATTATTGAAATATGGTTTAAGAGCAGGCATTTCTTGTGTTGGAATATAGTTGCTACTTAAAACATATTTATCTAAGACACTTTCATTAAACGGATAATACTTTTGAAGGCAGTATCTCATCATGACGTCACCATTGTAGATGTAGGCTCTTAAAGGATCCACTGATGTTATGATAGTATACACACCTGAAACAACGAAAAATTAAGCCATGTGGATTGACTACGAATTGTTTGTTTCTTACCAAAGTCAAATTTGTGTCCATCTACCAAAAAAGGATTGTCCACAAACTTTTGGATAAACGACTCACTGCTGGTCACATCTATATCATCTACATTCACCATCTCAATATTCCTGTGAGTATTCCCTTTTATCAAAAACCTATATCCTGGATTTTTGCTAGAGTAATTTCTCAACTCCTCCATATCCTCTGGTATACGAAAAGACTTCGGTATAAAATCCGCATCAGTCATAGACAATTCAACCTTTGAAGTCAAAAAATAGATACCCGGAACATGATTTACTTTCTGATTTGGCTTCAAATTCTGAAACCAATTTCTACAGTCGTCAAAAGGATATCGACTAGACCAAAATACGTCCCAACTATTTTTGCCTAGAAATTTTTTGAAACCAAAAGAGTGAAATATTTTGTGAACCACTTGCAGGTGGTATCCATCATCTGGTATCCAGTAAGTTGGTGCTGCAGTCGTCGGATCTTGTTGTTCGCAAATTTCTGGCAGAAAAGTTAGGAATATTGATGGTATATTCAGACTTGGCACAATTGCTGCAATTAGTAAGGTGAATACCAAAAATTTGACGACGATATTGGAGGCGCATAGATTAGAACTTGTTTTGGTTGGCATAGTTGGGCTAAAATTTACCTGAGGATAGTAAGAAATATTTTGCAGTTAACTGTGTCATTCAATATTTGAAAAAAATATTATTATTGTGTTATGACATTATAAATTAATAAAATATTCGATATTATATTCACGTAATTCTGCTTCACAACATACCGTTGTCATGGCAATGGTACTTTATGCTTGTTATACATGGTGAAACTGTGTAAATGTCTATTTGCTGTGCGATCAGACGTATTTAAAATATAAACAATCAAGGAAGAATGTTATGATAACAGAATCTTTAAACATGCAGTTGACATAACATTCTTTCTTGCTTGTTTATACGTAAAATACGCCTGATTGCATAGCAAATAAATAGACATTTTCACTATCAAGTTATGAGGCAGAATTTCTTCTTCCAGTATTATGCAATTTTTATATTAAGTGTATATAAACTATATAATTTACCTCATTTTCTTTCCATTTACCCATGTTTAGAATAATTTGTCAATTGATGTAGTACTTCCAATAATTTGTCAACTTCTTAGATTAATTTATTGTTACTTTCATTTGTTTTATATGAACTTGCAAGATTTTTTTGTTTGCTTGGTTTCACAGCATATTCAAACAAATTTTTATACGCTAGTGACATCTATTTTTTAAGTTAGTGACATCTAGTTTTCGGGTGTATATGCGTAGGGTGCCCCAGAACTCAATGTCAAGCCGAAACGGGGTGATAGTATTGATTGGTATTGATTGTTACTATCATGAAAGAAATAAGAAAGAAATAAGAAATTGCTGGAACTTCAGTTCTTTCAAAAACTGCCATTTTTTCATATTTAGCTCCGTATCTCCGAAACGCCTAGACCTGGCCTAAAAACTAATCACCACTTCTCCTCTTCATTACGAACTGATTATTTTATGAATCATTCAAATACGATGCTTCGTCTCTCAGAAACTCGATTTCTATTTTCTGCACTCTTTGCTCTGTATTTTCCAAACGGCTGGACCTGCCTTTGCTAAAAACTAATCATCACAGCTTTCTATCAATAAGAATCTAATGTTTTTTGAACCATACTAATCGGTTGATCTGTGCGCCCAAAAACGTGGACGTAAATTTGTATCCATACACACATATACACACACACATCCATTTTTTCTAAGGTATGCCAAAACGTTCGATAACCCCTAATACGTAAAGATATACAAATAATTTTAATTTCGATTTTTGGCCGATTACAATAACTTACGGGAAGTTAAAAAAGTTTTTAAGTGCAACCTGGAATTTTGGTGACCATTTTTGGGTTATTGTGGTTAAAATCAATTTTGTTCATTTAATTTCTGAAACCGTAACCCTAAATAACATTTCTAAGTCCACAGTCAAATATAGTGACACAATTGCTCCTAGTTTTTAGGAAATAAGACTTTAAAGTGTGTTGGAAAGTTGCATCAAAAGTTGTCACATTTTATCAGGATTGTAAAATGGTATAATACTTGATAATTTTATAATAAGAAGTTTGGGTGAAAAAAATAAAAACCTATAAATAACACTATAACGTCTAACGGATTTTGCTCATATTCAGTACAAATATTTTTCAGCTTTTGGTCAGAAGTTCTGAACACATTATTATTATTATTATTAATATTATTATTATTATTATTGACTGTTGGCAAAGTTAAAAACGAGTAATTTTTACTTGATTTATTTTCATTAATCTAATAATACTAATAATTGCAATACATTACATTAGTAAAATAAAAAATTCAACACCACGTAAAATCTGCTTTACATTTTTCATTGAACCATCTCATGATCAGTTGATTCTTGGATGAAAATTTATTTAGATAATCTTCTGATAAATCTTGTCCGGTCTGAAAATGTTAAAATTTGTAATTAATACATAACAAATGTGCTTCTCCTTGTTTTAGTGTTTTCCGCACTCAACAGAGGGTCTACTGTGCCATTGCTAAATTCATCAAATCTAAGAAAGTGATTCTCTATTTATAATACAAGTACTTTAAACGTTTAATTTTTTTTAAATATATACTTTTGTGAAAATATTTGTGATTTAGTTAAAAATATATTTTATAAGATAATCATCTTATATTATTATCTTCTCTAGAATCAATCCTGTGGGTAAATTTCCGTGCTACAGTTAGTGGCGCCTCTATGGAGTGCGGAAGCAATTAAAACTAAAGTTATTACCATCCTCTTTGGAATAATTCGTTTACAATCTCCACGATTTATATGCTCTTGATAAGTCAAATAAAGATCCCCAATATCTTCTTCAGTGAGGCATCTTAGGCACAAATAACAATTTTTATTGATACAAGATGATGTGCATTCGTAACTGGAGCAAATGTCTGCATTCACCATTACATTTTTATTGGATGCCAGTATATCCGAATTTTGGCTAAAATATTAAGAGTATATATTTGAAAAATATTTTTTTTTTTAATTTCATTTCTACCTGTCCAAGTTCAAATTGTATCTCCCAATTCCGACCAATTTGAAAATGTTATATAAAAGTTGTTCGTAAAGCAATTTGTTGTGCTTGAAACGAATTGGAGATAAGTTTGGGCTCATGTTCGCTTCCAAAAGAAAGACGTCTAAGTTTTCATCGACTCCAAAATCGAATCGGAACAATTCGAAAAAGTTACGAGGTGCTTTGTACTTCTTTATCTAAAAAAATTAAATTAAAAGTAAGTCTGCTTTAATTTTTGATTAAATGAATTATGAATGAAGCCTGACTGCACACCAACCACATGGTTTTTGTCAATATTTTGTCAATGGAAAGTTCTTCATAACACGGCCTTGCCATAACATTTTTTTTTGTTATTTGGCAGAATCGGTTCCTAAAAGTGGGTTTAGCACATTCGCTGTTACCTCACGCCTTATTGTACTGCTCGATTTTACTTATGCCATTAGAAAATTCGTTCACTATATGATCGTGTACTCAAGTTAACAGTTCTTAACCGTATTTTTGGAGCCCCTTAACCTTTGATGGTAGGAGCCAATAAACGTATCAAATATTAATACAACTAAATACACTCTAAACTTATTGCAATTTAATGCTCAATACTAACTTCACCTGCGATTTCATTCGCATGGAAATGAACAAAATTTTATTTTACCTTTACTGAAAAATACAACTTGGAAGTATTTATTCATACATAAAAATGCATACTGTTAAAGTGTAACAATAGTTGTATTCATAGATAAATAAGTATAAATAGATGGCAAACACGGCCGCTTTGATGTTACATCAATTATAATTCTTTCAGCATTCAATAGATGTCGCCACCAACTGTAGCACGTAAATTTACCATTAGGTTCAATTCTAGATAAGATTTATTTGAATATATAATATAGAAAAGATACTCCTGATTAATTTGACTAAATGAAATTAGAACAAAATATACGCGTATAAAATATATTTTCAACAAAATCACAAATATCTTGTAAAAAATCTATGATGAGATAAAATTAAACATTTTTTCCATTAAAAAAAATATATATTTCAATATATAAAAAATATAAAATTGGTCATTTACATGTACTATATCTAGAGAGACTGTGTTTTAAACTGTGTGTGCTGAATTTGAAGCACACCAGCACCATCTGTTGAATGCTGAAAACACTCAAACCGTGTAACGCGTATTTGTTCTATGTTTACCCCCCATGGTTGTATTAATATGTCAGATGCTTATTACCCCTACCATCAAAGGATTAGGG